ACTTTGTTGTACTTCTCTCTCTAGAAAGAGGTGCTAACTTGATCGTCGGAATGCTAACGGACCTCAAGGGTTTGCTGTGCGCCTCCCGTGTAGGTTCGAGGCGTGGAGCAAGACGAAGGTGTGCAAGGCGCAGGCGCGTGGGTAGAAAGAGATTTACCCGGCTCAAACAGTAACTTATTGTTAATGTTTGGTTAAAATGAGTAAGATAATTTACTGGATACGATTTAATCATACATTTTTTGTTTAAACAAACACGATATTTGTCATTCTCTATTTTCATCGTTATATTTTGTTTATTTGACAAAAATTATTATTATTATTCATGCATATTTTTGTTTATATTCTCATCAAAATGTAACTTATTATTAATGTTTAGTAAAAGTGAGTTAAATACTAAAAGATAGAGATAGTTTTATAAATAGATCAATAATAATAAAAATTTATTACAAAATTGTCCACCTTGGCAACTTGTAAGTTCTTCAAGTGCTTATGTGGCAAGAAGTTATTTTTGAATTGCCATAATATATATAAAATTATAGACATAGATATCTACAAAATACATAAAGGCAAGACATGGGTTGGAATTCTCCTATTTCAAATTTCGTAGCCTGAGAGTGATTCTAGGAAGGTCATTTTTGTCATTGCACTCGGTTCATATTTATATATTAAAATTATTATCATTGGAGTTCGAACCTTGGTCACATAAATGAAGAAAGAGCATTATAACCACCTAGACTACATTTATTTATTATTATTTCTTTGATTGGACTCTAGGAGTATGTTTGGCGATGATGCTTCAGTATTTATATTTTATCTTAAGTTATTTATATTTTATAAGACGATATTAATTCTGAAATCGGAACTCAAGTAGTATTGATTCAAACATTAATATTAAATTGTATGTGTTGTTTAGTTCATACAAAATACACAAGTGTAATCAAAACATAGACCTTTGTGATGAGTATAATCATTTTTTGCGACAAATCTACACATAATATAATAATAATAAAGTTGAAAAATGAGAGTCTCATTTCAAATTTCGTGGTCCGAGAGTGATTCTAGGAAGCTCTTTTTTGTATAAGTGCCCAATTTATTTTTATATTATGTGTAGATTTGTGACAAAAAATAACTATATTTGTCACAAAGATCCATGTTTTGGCTACACATATGTATTTTGTCTAAACTGAACCACACATATAATTTATTATTTAATGTTTGAATCAATGTTACTTGAGTTCCGATTTCACAATTAATCACTTTCTATAAGTTATAATAATTTAAGGTAAAATACTTTTCCTACTTGGTTGAAGAAACTCTTTTTATAAGATATATTCAATGTTTTAAGATCTTCTATTTCAAATTTCGTGAAGCGAGAGTGAAAGTAGGAAGAGTATTTTTGTCAGCACAATTACTATCTACTTCATATGAAAAAGTATCAATATCAAGATTTGAACCATTGTCTCTTCAAACAAAAACAAAAATCACAACCAATTTCACTATGATAATTTGTTTTATCTCCATAAATTGTAAACAGGCACTAAGCAAAGATTTGAAAAGCAGAGGACTTTTCACGGTTAGCTAGCCTATTAAATCTTCTAAAAAAGCAAAGTTTATTATGTGATTTATAATTTTTATAACCTATAAAATGACGGGTAATCTGAAATATGCAACACAAATTTCATTGCTTGAAATATTGCATATCGAACTGCAGTATTGAACATGCAAAAGCGATGTAGAATTCTGTAAATTAATATGAATTTTCAGAACTAATACGAAACAATAATATTTTGTATAAACTATAGGTGACTGGTTCTCTAAAATTTTAGCCTGGTTAACTGCTAAACATTAAACTCTTGCTAATCGGGCATGATTGGACCCGACAATAATGAGGGAATTTAATGTGATGTTCATTTCGTCAGTTTTGGATCAGATGTGTTGATTAATTTATAGGGCATTAACATATAAATGAGTTATAATTAACCTCATTATACAATTTTTTTACTCTTTGTAATAATTAATTTAATCTTATTGTTTGTGATGTTTGAAATATTTTATGTATGTTTTAGAAGTATGATTATTATTTATGACATCAGTTATAGTTTATTCAATGTAGTATTTCATCAGGTAGTCAAAATCGAATATTGAGTGCATTTATGACTTTTTTATCTTGGTGTTGTGAATAGGTAGAAACTTAATTATAACAATGCACATAATCCTTACATAATATTATAGGAATTCAAAACTAAATCTTTGCCACATAAGCACATGGATGACTCTAATTCTTCCATGGTGGACAAGTTCTAATTATAAATTTTTTCCTTACACTTAAAATCATCATTATTATCATTAAAATGTGCATTAAGTTAATAACAATGAATGCAATCTTTTGGTTTGTTTCTATTGATTTTCCAGTGTAGATGATCTAAATAAAATTGGATATTGGAAAAAAATAAAAGATAAAACATAGAAATTGGGTCAAACCCTATAAAACAAACAAAACTCTTTTCTTATTTACTCAAAATTTTGAGATTTCTAGCATTTCAGTTTTCTTCTCTACTATTTTATGCATAGATACATCAACATGTAAGGAAAATGGTAAGACATATAGAGTTTTTTTCATTGCGTCAGTTACAAGAGGCATCAATTAGATGAGAAACAATTGAGTAGTTGTAATATATTGTTCCTATTGGCAAAAAAGTTCTTATCATTGCGAATACGAAGTAAACCAAGCCAAGTATTATCGACAACTCCCTATTCTACCGTGATCCGCAGCTGATGACTGACCTCTCTTCTCCAAGGGTATTTGGCTGTTTGTGATTAACTGGTCGGGTTCTACTCTTCTTTCCATTTCTTAAGTACTTTCATATTATGGTGGCAGGGTTATAAATTGCCCTACTTGATCTACCATTGTCTTTCATCTTCGCTTTAGGTATTATTCAAAACTAAATTACTGCCACATCAGCACATGGATAGCTCTCATCCTTTCATGGTGGGCAAGTTCTAATTATAAATGACGTACCTTATGTTAACACTTTCAATCGTCATTATCATTAATAACACATAAATTTAAGTTAATAACAATGGATGCAACCTTTTAGTTTGTTTCTATACGTTTTTTTTTGTATAGATTAGCTCTCTAAAAATAAAACCCATCATTAAAAAGAATAAAATTAATTGAGTGGGTCAAGCCCTGTAAAAACAAACAAAAATCATTTCTTCTTTGCTCAAAAGTTCGAGATTTCTAGCATTTCTCTTTTATATTATTCATTGGATGCTAAAATGGAAAACAAATTGTGAGGATTGTCACCTTACCATGTTCCATCAGAGGATGTTTTTATATTTATTATATTCATGAGTGGCTTGCTACTAGCTAGCTTTACAATGATGATATAGTCAGTAATTAGTAAGTAGCAGGGGTTATAAGTAGAAGGGATGTGGAGTTTTATAAAGGTCACAAATAAGAAATAAAGTGGTAATGGTGGTCTATGGGTTGTCTATGTCGATGTTCTTTCAATTTCTTAAAGTGTGCAATGTCATTTGTTTTTTTTTCTTAGCGTGGATTGATGCATCAATCCAGTTCATGATTGAGGAATTCATAAGATGGAACGAATTGAGTTGTACTGAAGTTTGCAACTTTCACTATTCGTCTATGTTGTTATTAGGTAAAAAAAAATATTCGTTTTGCAAAGGATATTTAGCCCTCTACTAAATATCAATTATATTTATATGTGGTTAAATTTGCTGAAAATATTATTGTAATAAATTAATGATAGTTGACGGTTCTATTTCTGGTTGGTTATCCTAGAACATTACTAAGGTAAACTAAAATGGATAAGCAGAAAATTGATTATGTGGATGCTAATGAGATTTCTTGCTCTATCAAAATTACATGGATAACTTATATTGCATGGTATTCGTAGGATCTAAAATAATAATAAAAAATAGTAGACACAAAATAGTTTACATAAAATAATTTAATAAAATTAGTGTTTCAATAATAAATGGAAGATACAAAGGGTCAAACAATATCTTCTTATGAAATAAGGTAAAGGAGATTGAAATTTTCATGTATAATAGTGTAACATACATGAATCATAAAAAAATAAAATAATACAATGAAAAATAAATCTATTTGCACTGCCCAACGGGCGGGTAAAAAACTAGTTATATCTAGACACATGGTCGAGCTAACAAGACACAGTTAGAGCATAACATGAACATAATGTATATGGATCGGCAATGTACAAGCATGAATGCTTCATGGGTCGTACCAGACTTAAACTTCAAGGGCTTGCGCACAAGTGCGAGCACCACACAGTCTATATTGGTGAAGTCATTTTTTATGGAGAAATGCGTCATTTGATAATAATAAAACAAAATATTTTAAAAATAACATATAAAATTTGAATTAATGAGTAGTTTCTCACATCAACGTGTGACCGCTCATATTCTAAAAGGTTTATAAAATACATCCATTGTTTATTTTGAGAGTTAATATATCAATGTATACAACTAAAAATTCATTTATAAAAGCATTCTTGATTAACTTAATAGCTGAAAAGTCTTTTTTACAGCTTACGGTAATAAACAACGTCAGCAATAACTTTAGAAGCAAGTAAAGTGAAGAAGAAATTCGGAGTTAGTATTTCTTTGCAAATGTGTGTGTGGATTTGAGAAAGGGTTGAAACTCATATATCATTTGTTTGAATATTGAATATTGCATATTGAATTGGAGTATTGAACATTTTGGAAGTGATATATAATTCTTAAATTAGTATTAATTTTCAGCCTGGTTGACCAATAGCCTTAGACCTTTTGCTAATCTGACATGGATTCAATAATCATAAGGTGAGATTTAGTTTGATATGGCGTCGGTTTAATACCATTTTTTTATGTGTACTAAATTTGTACGAAAATTACATGTAGAGTGAAGATGAACCTGATTATGCATTTTGATTCTTTATATAAATACAATGGTTTAAGACTTTAAGCGATAAACTAACTATACACTCACTCGATTGGTTTAACGAGTTCTGTTTTTTTATTACTTTTAATAGTTAGCAAAATATTGATTTTTGTGGTTAGTGGTTAACCACTACCCACAACAGTTTACCCACATTAACCACATTAGTTATATTTATTTCTTCAAAATACTTTGTAACCCACATTAACCACATTTGTTATATTAGTTTGTGAAACTTGGAAGACTAAGAATTTAAGTAGCTACCAAAATCAAATATGCACTTATTTTATAAAACAAAACCAAGTCAATATGCAATGTTCATATGAGATACTTTTATTAAATAAGCATTGTCCCTGTGTTATATGTTTATTTTATAACAAAATCAAGTCCATAGATATAGTCAGAAAAATTAATCGATTCGTTACAAGAGGGGAATAATCAATAAAGGTTAGTCAGATACGCAAACTCATCTCCATTTCTCCACGAATTCACGAACAACACAACATGCAACCAACTACCAAAAACACAAGACTATAATCGAGAGTGGAGAATAATCGATTCATTAAAAGCGGGCGCCTCCACTTATTGAGCCACTTTTTTGTTTTGCTGTTGTTGCCATCGGAGGAGTCGTGACATGCAACGATGTTAGTCTGGTAACATATCACTCCGCCTCTTCGTTATTTCAAATCTCTTTCCAAATCCATCACTTCTGAATTTACACTAACTAACCTATTGTATTCGAGATTTATAATTTATTTTACACTTTATTAACTTTCTTTTATGTATGTTTTTTTGTGTGAGAAGAAATACAACATCACTATTTAATTACAATATTATTATATTTAATGTGAAATTTTTGTGGGTATCCACAACCAACCCGTAACGGATAGTGGTTAACCACTACCCACTGCGAGACGGATTGTGAGTAACATAATTCTATATTTATGGGTGTGGTTACCCTCAAAATGTAGGGCAGGTAACCACATCCACCCCAATTTCCATATATATATATCTATAGACATGCAAAACTTGAGAACAAGTCCGGTCCTGCGGAGAGGTGGCCCATAGTGCTTTTTCAGGCCCGATTCTCTTAACAGCGGCCGGCCCATATTCTCCCAGGCCCAACTCTCAAATTGACCGTCTCTGTCTCTTCCCCACAGCTCACTTCTTCGGCGCCGAACAAACACACACCCATTCCTCTCCGACTTATTTCGGGGTTGGGCCGGGAAAAGAATAAATAGATGTATCCGGCTTTCAAGGCCCGGTAAACGAGTCCCAACTTTTTGTAGGCCGTTTATATAAAAAAAACAAAAACAAAAACAAAGAATATACAAAGAGAAGAAGCAGCCTTCTTCTGCTGGGGTACTGTATTCCAAAAACCCTATCTAAAGTTGTTAAATTCAGAGAGACAGAGAGAGGGGGGAAAAAAAACAAGAAGCAATCGAACAGAGCATAGCGACGAGAGGAAGGGGGAAAATCAACAACCAACGGATCTGGAAAGGAAGGGGTGGGAGCAGCGTAAACAGTCTCCAGGGAGGCCTTCACATCGTCCCGAAAACGAGAAACTGCAGAAGTCCATAGGATTGAGCTGGACGTAGGAGTCCGGAAGTGAAGAGTCGGCGCCGGCGGAAAAATTGGAAGGCGGTGCAGACGAGGAGACGACAGCCGCTGGAGTATTTAGAGTGAGGAGGAATGTGGTGATTGTTATTTGAATTTTGCGCAAATGGACCTCCGATTCCCTTTTTCTCCTGCGGAAGTCGCCAAAGTCCGCTGTGTTCAATTCGGCATACTCAGCCCTGATGAGATCGTAAATTTCTCTTCTCTGTCTCTCCTCTTCCTTCTCTGTTTCTCCTTGTCTGAGTTTGGAGTTGTTAGCTGGGAGAGTAGTTACTTCGACACATAATGGTTGAATTGGAACCGGTGTTCTGGGGTGCTGTAGCGGTGATTGTCAGCTAGTGAATGAAGTAGCTAGGGTTTTATGATTTGATTTTGATTGAACTCCGAACCGTGTTTCTGAACCTTTTTTCCTCTTCTGCTCTGGTTGTCTGCAGAGGCAAATGTCCGTAGTCCAGATTGAGCATAGTGAGACTACTGAGCGGGGGAAGCCCAAGGTTGCAGGCCTGAGTGATCCTCGGTTGGGAACAATTGACAGGAAAATGAAGTGCGAGACTTGTACTGCGAACATGGCAGAGTGTCCTGGCCACTTTGGACACTTGGAGCTTGCTAAGCCCATGTTCCATATAGGGTTCATGAAAACTGTACTCAGCATAATGAGATGTGTTTGCTTCAATTGCTCTAAGATTCTTGCAGATGAGGTACCCTCAGGCTCAATTGTGTCATTCTATCGAACTATTATCATGCTGGTAGTGTTCTTTCTGATCAGCGTAGCGGCTTTTTTACCCTAGGATGTTTCATACTAGGGCATTATGTTTGCCTTCAGTTAATTGAGTGTGCATGAATTAGCCATCACAACTTGTGCTTCGTTCTTGTGATGCGATGACTCTTGTTGGATGTTGTCAACTTCCTCCATTTCAATTTTCAAGTTACTTGATTTTCCTCTTATTGATTTATGAACAGGAAGACCATAAGTTTAAGCAAGCCTTGAAGATAAGGAATCCAAAACACAAACTTCGAAAGATCCTGGATGCTTCCAAGAACAAGACAAAGTGTGAAGGTGGGGATGAAATTGAGGTTCAGGGTCACGATGGTGAAGAGCCAGTTAAGAAGAGCCGTGGTGGATGTGGTGCTCAGCAGCCAAAGATTACTATTGAAGGTATGAAGATGATTGCTGAGTACAAGGCACAGAAGAAGAAAAGTGATGATCAGGAGCAGCTGCCTGAACCCGTTGAGAGGAAACAGACACTTACAGCAGAAAGAGTAAATATGTTTCCATGCTTCCACCATCTGGTTTAACCTGTAGCTTTGTGCTTATTTGCTCTTTATTTTCTTTACAGGTTCTTAGTGTTCTCAAGCGAATAAGTGATGAGGATTGCCAACTACTGGGGCTGAACCCTAAGTATGCACGTCCAGACTGGATGATTCTGCAAGTACTTCCGATTCCACCACCACCTGTGAGACCGTCGGTCATGATGGATACATCCTCCCGCAGTGAGGCAAGATTCTGATTCCTTATATTGGCTTGAAAATTTTCTGGTTGTTTTAAGTATTCGGTTCTGGACAAGGGGGTCTTACTTTAAAGGGGCTACTGTTGATTTTTTGGACAGCATATATTCTAAGTTTCTAACATTAATTCTTTACTAAACCCAGGATGATCTTACCCATCAGCTGGCAATGATTATCAGGCACAATGAGAATCTAAGACGACAAGAACGGAGTGGGGCTCCTGCACACATCATATCTGAGTTTGCACAGTTGTTACAATTTCACATAGCCACATATTTTGACAATGAGTTGCCGGGACAGCCAAGGGTTTGTGTGCTTCCGAAGATGTTACTGTTTAATCCTATGTTCATAGAATGGTCATTATTCTTAATTTACAAGCAAATCTGTTTGTTCTGCAGGCCACTCAGAGGTCAGGGAGGCCCATCAAATCAATATGCAGTAGGCTTAAGGCTAAAGAGGGTCGTATTAGGGGCAATCTAATGGGCAAACGAGTTGACTTCTCTGCTCGTACGGTGATCACTCCCGATCCCACCATCAACATTGATCAACTTGGAGTACCATGGAGTATTGCCTTGAATCTCACCTATCCTGAAACTGTTACTCCGTATAACATTGAAAGGTCCAGATTTTGCTTTTGTGTTCTTTTCCTTAAACTTGTTTTGTCAGTTTCTCCCACTCCAAAGCTCTCACTCACCACTCTCAAACGAATAGGAATAGATGTTTTCTAGTTGTTACTGAGGATGGTTCCCTTAAAACAGGTTGAAGGAGCTGGTTGAGTATGGGCCACATCCTCCTCCTGGTAAAACAGGTGCAAAATACATTATAAGGGATGATGGGCAGAGACTTGACCTCCGCTACTTGAAGAAAAGTAGTGATCATCATCTGGAGCTTGGTTACAAGGCATTTTCTTGAACTGGGAAGTCAATTTATAATATTGTTTCTCTATCTTGTGCATTTGAACTCATACTTTATACCCGCAGGTTGAGCGACATTTGAATGATGGAGACTTTGTTCTTTTCAATCGACAACCCAGTCTCCATAAGATGTCAATTATGGGTCACAGAATCAAGATCATGCCATATTCAACTTTCCGCTTGAACTTGTCTGTCACTTCTCCATATAATGCCGATTTTGATGGCGATGAAATGAATATGCATGTGCCGCAGTCATTTGAAACCAGAGCTGAAGTTTTGGAGTTAATGATGGTGCCAAAGTGCATTGTTTCTCCTCAGGCCAACAGACCTGTCATGGGAATTGTGCAGGACTCACTCTTAGGATGCCGCAAAATTACCAAGAGGGATACTTTTATTGAGAAGGTAAATAATGTTCTTGTCCATAATATTCTTTTTAAATAGCTGATACTGGAGACTGTGCCTGTTTGTGATCAGATGCGTATTTGACAGCAATGTGATTACAGGATGTTTTCATGAATATCCTGATGTGGTGGGAAGATTTTGACGGGAAAGTGCCTGCTCCAGCTATTCTGAAGCCCAAGCCGCTCTGGACTGGAAAGCAAGTTTTCAATCTCATTATACCAAAGCAGATAAATTTAATTAGGTTTTCTGCTTGGCACAGCGACCCTGAGAAAGTAGCCATTAACATTACCCCTGGAGATACAGTAGTCAGAATTGAGAAAGGGGAGCTGCTTTCTGGAACACTTTGCAAGAAGACACTTGGGTCATCTTCGGGAGGACTGATTCATGTTATCTGGTAAGCATTTCAATGTCCACCCGCTTTGGTTCAAGTTTGCCCACCTCCTACGAGATCCTTATAATCTTGATTGCTTTCCTCAGAATTATCTAGTTACAATCAGAACCGTTGATATTCCATGCCTCTTAATTCCCGTATCCACCCTGACGAAATTTAATTTATTCCTTCACCTCCTCAGGGAAGAAGTTGGCCCTGATGCAGCAAGGAAGTTTCTGGGACACACCCAGTGGCTTGTGAATTATTGGCTTTTGCAGCAAGCTTTTAGCATTGGGATTGGAGATACAATTGCGGATGCTTCTACAATGGAAAAAATTAATGAAACAATTTCAGCTGCAAAAACCGAGGTGAAAGAACTTATTAGGAAAGCGCAGAATAAAGATTTGGAGCCTGAACCTGGAAGGACTATGATGGAATCATTTGAGAACAAAGTGAACCAGGTGCTGAATTCGTGGTCCTTTCTTTGATGAATATGAATGTGGTTTCTTCTATGAACTCTCTTCTGATATTCTTCTCATGACTTCTCTGATTTAGGTCCTGAACAAAGCTCGTGATGATGCCGGAAGTAGTGCGCAGAAAAGTTTATCTGAGAGCAATAATCTCAAGGCAATGGTCACTGCTGGATCAAAAGGGAGTTTCATTAATATCTCACAAATGACTGCTTGTGTGGGACAACAGAATGTTGAGGGAAAACGGATACCATACGGCTTTGTTGATCGAACACTGCCTCACTTCACAAAGGATGACTATGGGCCCGAAAGCCGTGGATTTGTGGAGAATTCATACCTCCGTGGGTTGACTCCGCAAGAGTTCTTTTTTCATGCAATGGGTGGTAGGGAAGGTCTCATTGATACTGCGGTGAAAACATCTGAGACTGGATACATACAGAGGCGACTGGTGAAAGCTATGGAGGATATAATGGTAAAATATGATGGTACTGTGAGGAACTCATTGGGCGATGTGATTCAGTTCCTTTATGGGGAAGATGGAATGGATGCTGTCTGGATTGAATCCCAAAAGGTGGAGTCATTGAAAATGAAGAAACCTGAGTTCGATAAGTTCTTCAAGTACGAAATTGATGATCCTAATTGGAGTCCTAATTACATGTTGCCCGATCATGTCGAGGATTTAAAGAACATACGGGAATTGCGTGATGTGTTTGATGCTGAAGTTGCAAAGCTTGACGGAGACAGAAAGCAACTTGGAACCGAGATTGCCACCACTGGTGACACTTCCTGGCATTTGCCTGTTAACCTTGCGAGGCTCATATGGAATGCACAGAAGACATTTAAGGTTGACACAAGAAAGCCTTCGGATATTCACCCAATGGAGGCTGTTGAAGCTGTTGATAAGTTGCAAGAAAGGCTGAAGGTTGTCCCTGGTGAGGATCGATTGAGTGTTGAAGCACAAAAAAATGCTACTCTCTTCTTCTCAATCTTGCTCCGTAGCACTTTGGCAAGTAAGAGGGTGCTCCAGGAATACAGGCTCAGTCGTGAAGCGTTTGATTGGGTTATTGGTGAGATAGAGTCCCGTTTCTTGCAATCATTGGTTGCTCCAGGTGAAATGATTGGTTGTGTTGCAGCACAGTCTATTGGGGAGCCTGCTACTCAGATGACTCTCAACACATTTCACTATGCTGGTGTTAGTGCAAAGAATGTCACCCTTGGTGTTCCCAGGTTGAGGGAAATCATTAACGTAGCCAAGAAAATAAAGACACCTTCTCTTTCTGTTCTTCTGCAACCAGAATGGAGCCAGACAAAGGAGAGGGCTAAAACTGTCCAATGTGCCCTGGAGTATACAACCCTGCGAAGTGTTACACAAGCTACCGAGGTTTGGTACGATCCGGATCCCACAAGTACAATTATTGATGAGGATGCCGATTTTGTGAGATCTTATTACGAGATGCCAGATGAAGAGGTTGCACCTGAAAAGATTTCTCCTTGGCTGCTTCGTGTAGAGTTGAACCGTGAAATGATGGTTGATAAGAAACTAAACATGGCTGACATTGCTGCCAAAATCAACCTCGAGTTTGACGATGATTTAACTTGCATCTTCAATGATGACAATGCCGAGAAGCTGATTCTCCGCATCCGTATCATGAACGATGAAGCCCCTAAAGGCGAGCTTACTGATTCATCAGCTGAAGATGATGTTTTCCTGAAGAAAATCGAGAGCAACATGCTGACGGAAATGGCTCTGAGAGGTATTCCAGATATCAACAAGGTCTTCATCAAGCATGGCAAAGTAAGCAAGTTTGATGACAATGACGGATTCAAAACGGTGGAAGAGTGGATGCTGGACACTGAAGGTGTCAATCTGTTGGCTGTCATGTGTCATGAAAGTGTTGATGCCAAGAGGACAAGTAGCAATCACTTGATTGAAGTTATTGAAGTGCTGGGAATTGAGGCAGTTCGTCGTGCACTTCTTGATGAGCTCCGGGTCGTTATTTCTTTCGATGGATCATATGTGAATTACAGGCATCTTGCTATATTGTGTGATACCATGACATATCGTGGTCACTTGATGGCAATTACTCGGCATGGTATAAACAGGAATGACACTGGACCTATGATGAGGTGCTCATTCGAAGAAACTGTTGACATCCTTCTTGATGCTGCTGTATATGCTGAGTCGGATTATTTGAGGGGTGTGACTGAAAATATCATGCTAGGTCAGCTTGCACCTATTGGCACCGGAGGGTGTGCATTGTATCTGAATGATGAAATGTTGAAGAATGCCATTGAACTGCAGCTTCCCAGTTATATGGAGGGTATGGAGTTTGGGATGACACCTGGTCGTTCTCCAATATCTGGAACTCCTTATCATGAGGGGATGATGTCTCCAAACTACTTGCTGAGCCCAAGTCTACGCCTCTCGCCTATCTCAGATGCTCAATTTTCACCTTATGTAGGTGGTATGGCATTTTCCCCTGCATCATCGCCTGGGTACAGCCCATCATCTCCAGGCTACAGCCCTTCTTCTCCAGGATACAGTCCGACATCACCTGGATATAGTCCGACCTCGCCTGGGTACAGCCCCACTTCGCCCGGTTACAGCCCCACTTCACCAACATATAGTCCCAGTTCTCCTGGGTACAGTCCAACAAGTCCGGCCTACTCTCCAACAAGCCCATCTTACTCCCCTACCTCTCCGAGCTATAGCCCTACATCCCCAAGCTACAGCCCAACATCCCCAAGCTACAGCCCGACGTCCCCGAGCTATAGTCCTACATCCCCTAGTTATAGTCCTACTTCTCCAGTTTACAGTCCCACTTCCCCGGCGTACAGTCCTACTTCACCGGCGTACAGCCCTACATCACCATCTTATAGCCCAACCTCTCCTTCTTACAGCCCTACTTCACCTTCATATAGTCCTACGTCTCCGTCCTACAGTCCAACGTCTCCTTCATATAGCCCCACTTCACCTGCATATAGCCCCACTTCACCAGGGTACAGCCCGACATCGCCGAGCTATAGTCCTACATCTCCAAGCTATAGCCCAACGTCGCCAAGTTACAACGCGCAGTCAGCAAAATACAGTCCTTCACTTGCTTACTCACCAAGCAGTCCCAGATTATCCCCTGCTAGTCCTTACAGTCCTACATCTCCAAGCTATAGGTAGGCATGAATGTTGGGAAGTAATTACTTGATATGCATTTCACAGCAATTTGTTCATATCTTTATGGTGGTTGCAATTTTATGATCTTGGGCTAATTTTTTTATCCCTTCTGTGTAGCCCTACTTCACCTTCATATTCACCGACGTCTCCATCATACTCCCCATCAAGCCCAACATACAGTCCCAGCAGGTAATCTTTCTGGCTTCTGTTATTGCTGATTAGTGTCTAGGGTCCTATGTGGAACGACTTCTCTACGATGAGTTTTTTCTGCCCACCTGTTATCCCCACTCCATGTAATTCTGGCTTCTGTTATTGCTGATTAGTGTCTAGGGTGGAACGACTGCTCTATTTCATACGCGATGACCTTTTTGCAATGCAGTGTTTGCAAGTGAAGAAACTCATTGATTTGTGTATTTGTTGCAGCCCGAGTGCAGGGTATTCCCCAAGTGCACCGGGGTACTCACCATCATCTACAGGACAGTAAATGTGACGAGAAAGGCAAGGGATGGGGGGGAACACAAATAGAATGAATGGACTTGGGGTTTGCCTGAAATGAACTGGAATACAAAGGGCAGGGTTTCACCTTGGCTCTTGTGTATAAATTGATTAAGGACATTGGTGATCAACTTTTCTTTTTCTCCTAGTGGAATATAGGAATGGATGATGAATACAATCTGAGTAGGAGGGACAGTTTGGTTTCTGGTTGCTTGTATTGTATTGAGCCAATTGCCCATCTGATTTCTAGCGGTTCTGCAATCGATCAAGTGAGAAGCTGTGGTGGAGGTGATTGAAACCATTTGCCCACTAAAATAGGAAGGTGTGGTTTGGTTGGTGTGTGAAATATGTGGAGTTGGGGCATGGCTTTTGGTCGGAAACTGTAAAAATATGTGTAGTCTCTTCTGTTTATTAGAGAATTGGAGTTGGGGTATGGATATTTTCTTGATCCCCTTCCTTGGCTTCTATCAGTTGTCTTGGGTTCACTTGTTAACTTACCTTGGACTTTTTGACAGTAGCAGACTAGCAGGTTGATTTATTTTGTGGATAGTGGACGTTTTGTTATCCTTGTGTTTTCTCACTTTCCATATTTTTTACAGTAGCTCTAGCTTACTAGCAGGTTAATTAATTCTCCCATCTTTTCACGACTTCACTCGGAATAGAGTTTCCAATTTCCAGTGTTATATTTAGGGATGTGAATACTGAATAGGCAAGAGATTTAAGTAGAATGCCTATTGAGTTCAGGTGGTTAATTGCATGGTTGGTCACTGAGATTACAAAAAAAACATTCAAGTTTGGTTACTCGAAATATTTAAATCTACAAATTTACTGGTGGTACTTAAGTTATTGAAACCATTCATGTTTGGTCACTTTCTGTCCAACTCCGTCAAATTTTGATTACGTGGTAGTCAACACTAAAAGTTTATCGTTAAATGTGTGATGTGGCAATTAAAAAATAACTAAATAAATAAAATTTAATTTTTTTAAATTTTCACCTTATTTTTAACTATTAAAAAGATAAAAATCCTGTAGTTCAGATACGGGCTCCTCGGATTCTTCGAGACAAACGGGGTCATGTAACTGTAGATCCTCCGAATCTGGCCCAGATACTTCTAATCTGCCTCAACCCCGACCTCTGAGGATCTGGTGACTAAGGGGTGGTCTTTAGTCAAGTGACTAAGTCCCTCCTAGCCCTTAGATCTACATAAACTAATCTAATAGTTAAAATATAGGAAGAGATATTTAATTAATGAAAGGGTAGTTATGGTATTATAAAAAATTGGTTTTTTTAATTTTTTGTTTTATTTCCCTTTCCCACTCACGCCCAGCCGCGCGTGAGGCACGTCTCTCTTTTTTTGTTTTGATACCACACGTCTTTTTTTTTTTAATAATTCAGCTGACTTTTTTTTATATATATATAGGGACTCTTTTCTTTCTTTATGAATCAGTAATAGAAGATTTTAATCCTCCATCTTTCATCGTTTGTCTTTGTTTCTTTTTTCTATTAGATGTGAATTCCTTTACAAATCAATAATACAAAGTATACAAACTATATCATAAACTATACAAAGCAATATTTAAAAGTATACGAACCACATAATATAAGTATACGAACCACACAATCCAAGTTAACAGAAAATATCACTACTAAGTGTTACAAGGTATACCTACCATATCATAAAAGTATACAAATTAATATTACAAAGAATACAAACCACATCATAAAAGTATACAAATAATACTAACATTGTATATAAAGCATACTAACTGTACAAATTACAACTACTTTCAATACAAACCAATAGTACAAAGCATAAAAATCAGAAGTATACAAACATTACAAACATGGTGGACAAAAGTAGGGATGGCAACAAAACCCGAACCCACGGGTACCCACCCGACCCAACCCGGTCAACGCGGGTAAAACCCGTGTTGACGGGTTTTGGGCCGGGTTTGGGTTTAAACCCGCTACACTATTCACCGGGTCGGGTTGGGTTTGGGTTTAGGTAAACCCGCCCCATGGGTACCCGCCCACACACATATAATTACTTTCCCGGTATATTTAATATTATAAATAATATATCTTCCTTAAATAACTAATATTCTATATGTTTGTGCAGACATGTATAATTTTTTCTTTCTAATTGTTTAGAACAAAGTTGATATTATGAAGTGGAGAGTGAAAAAACTTAGTTGACGAGGAAGAAGCTTTCAATTAATCTTATTGTTTATATATGTTTATCTTTAATTTTGAATAATTTGTATTGATCATTTGCGGTTTGCTTGAATGCTCTAGATTGGTGTTTTTTGTATGATTAATTTGTATGAGAAAATTGATGTTAAACTTTTATTTTAAAAGAAACTTGTTATTGTAAATTTTTACCACAAAAACCCACGGGTACCCATGAACCCGCGGATACCCAGCGGGTTGGGTTGGGTTTGAGTTTTTCAAACCCAACGGGTTTTACTCCGGGTTTTTTTGGCGGACAAACCCATGGGTTTGGGTTTGGATTTGACAAAACCCGCCCCAACCCGACCCATTGCCATCCCTAGACAAAAGTGACAAACTAGATTGACAACTAATACAAACATGGTAGACAAAAATAACAATGTGTACAAACATTACAAAAGAAACTGACAAACATTACAAAAATAAACAAAGCTTACAAACATTACAAAAGAAATCGAAACACTGTACAAAGCATACTAAGTACTAACAGTACAGAATACCACTAATTACAAAACAAATTGATAAACTTGTATTACAAACCAATGAATATAAAGTATACAAATCATAACATAAAAGTATACAGAATAGATAGACAAATATTACAAATTACAATATATACAAAATAGTAATATAAACATTACAAATATAATAGACAAAATGACAAATAAGAATGATAAACAATACAAACTGAATTGATACAAAAATACAAATAAGAATTACAAACATTACAAAAGTTCCCGACAAAAATAAAAAAACTATCGGTATCACGGAAAATTCCATATCGTCGAAAAATCCTTTCCGCCGTGGGCGAAAAAATTTCGTTGCCATGCAGAATAACATCGCCAGTCTCTCTCTCTCTCTCTCTCTCTCTCTCTCAAAAAGGAGGAAATCCTCTACGTCCAAGTCCATTGGCGGCCGCCGGCAGGCAGTGGGTGGAGGAACTGGATGGCGGAAATTCCGGCCGACCGGCTACTGGAGCATCCTCGTGAATAGATCCTCTGTTGTCTTCGGAGCCACAAGCTGTCATTGATAAGCCAATTCAGTCGTGTTTTACTCCAAATACTACTCTACCTTGAAACTCGCTCCGCAGCCACCGCGAATCGCCCAAAACATATCCTCCCCCATCGAAGCCCTGTCGAGAAGTTTTCCATTCACATCCACGATTTGGGCGTCGACAACGTTGTCGGTCGAGATGTCGTACTTCCTTAGAAGGTTCCCATACCCGGCGCCGTTCAAGTGCCCGCCGACTCCGACTGTGGGGCAGATCCCGGCGGGGAACTCAATGTAATGATTCTGGATCTGTCCTGGCGATTAAGATTGACTTAGAGAAGAAGAAAGTGAGATTGAGGGAAGAAGAGAGGAAGATTGGAAGCAGAATGATAGGGAGGAGGAAGAAAGAATAGGGGAGAGGAAGAAGAAGTAGAACTAGGAAGAATGGTTTCTGTAATTGATATTCGATGCCCCAGTTTACAATTTACTTCCTCTATTTATATGACTACCCAATTACAAAGTGATCCCCCAATTAATTCCTATTACAACTAAACTCCCATTCATTACAATCCCCCACTCCTTGAGAACGTCCTTGTCCTCAAGGACGAACAGCAAAAGAAAGACATAACCATCCAAACAAATGAACTAACTGCACTAATCAACAAAATGGGTTGAAACCAGTAAGTAGCAAACATCAACCTTGAGACCTCAATAGAGAACTCACACTAGTGAGCTCATAAGCATCACCATAATCAGCTCCAGTCCCGGATAGTCATTGAACAACCAAGCATGAAGTGAGTGCAGAACCATAGAACTTCCCCACCATGACAACAAGAAAGAAGTAAAAGCATAACTACTGCCACTCATCCCATCATCCTTGTAAGTTTCTTTGAAGTTGAGACAAGCAGACCATCTTGTAAATTTCACTCGTGGCCACCAATACCCATGATATTTCTGCAAGGAACAACCCCAATCACAAGGAAATGAACCCTCACTGCAATTCGTAGAACTACAGCCAAGCTTGGTATGAAATGATGGAACATAGAATGGAGACTGGGAAGTGTGTGAAAGTAAAACTGCAATATTCCCATTGTACTTGGTGGCAATTCCAGGAGAAACACAGCCAGAGCCATCCACACCAGAATGATAAAACTGTGCATAGAAACTTGCTGGATCAAATGGTTGTTGGGCCACAAAGCTAGGCAGGCGAGAAACATCAAGGGACACTAGAATTTTGTACTCCTTTGCATTCATTTCCCTAACTTCATAAAGAGAAAGAACGAGGTTTGAAGTAGCATCTGGACATGAGGCAAACACATGGTGAGAGTTGCTATTCAGTTTCAAAGCATCATTTCTGTCTTTGGCTCGTTTTCCACACAACGTTTTAGCACCTGATTCCCATTTCTCATTCGAGTCACTGTCACACAGCCCACCCTTCAGGAACAACATAATCATAGGGCTGCCAAGATGGATATGCATTCCTTCAAAGAGCTCTTTAAAATTTTGCATAAAAGTGAGCACGTCCATGTTCGACAAGTACCTAGCCCCGCCAAAAATGTCATATTTGGTACGGATAGCATTCCACACATCCACAGACAGAATAATCTCTAAACCTAAAAGATCATAAAACTAAAGAGGACAATTGCAAGTCAGAACACCAATGTTCTCAGCATGCCTCACGGGTCCAAGAGAATCAGTAGCCAAGCCATAACAATGGCCATGAATTATTTGCTGTTGTTGTTGGTCAAAGGTCCGCTGAACTGGTTTAGTTTCACTTCCATACAAAGCCTCAATGATACAAATAGATGGATTGTGAGGGACTCTATCTGCAAACATGTAATAGTTATCCTCCCCTGTGGCGACTTCTCCCTTTTCCTGAGATTCAACAACCTCCATAATCATATCCACAAGATTGAAACCTAGAGGTGATATCACTGATACTGGTGGTTTCTCAGTTTCATTACAAGCTGCCATCAAATGTTTCATCACTGTAATTGTGGCCATGTTACGTTCCTTCTCATTGATTTCCTCATTGTCAATTGAGCCTCTATCCTACTGCTCCACAGGATCTTTGTACCATCCAAAACATCCAAATCTACCACACACAGCCGCAACAAACTCACTCCAAACCCATACGGAATGACAAGAAGTCCATCCCCCAAACCATAAATTTTCCCTTCGCCCGAAATTAACGGTAGCAACCCCGACCTTCTCATGTTCTGGAGTATCATACTCCTCAAATAATCGCTCACACTCCCTAACCCAGCATCTAGGATTCTCTCCATTGAATGAGGGAAACTCCAAAGGCTGAGTAGAGAAGAGATTACCGGAAGTGTGACTGTGAATTGCAGGTTCAGCAGAGGAAGGGATCACCTCTTTGGCATTTCGTCGAGCAGGTTGAAGTCGCAGAGTGGCCATCAACTCCTGTTGTCGAAACAAGGAGGTGCTGCTCCGGGGGCAGAGTGCTGCCAATCGCGCCAAGATGGTTTTGCGCTAGTTGCTGAACTCGTCCATTCGAGCCTCGAAAGCCTCCCAGCCATCCAATCTCGTGTTGATAGTTGACATTTGCCAAGATTTGGCTCTGATACCAATTTGTAATGATTATGGATTTGTCCTGGCGATTGAGATTGACTTAGAGAAGAAGAAAGTGAGATTGAGAGAAGAAGATAGGAAGATTGGAAGCAGAATGATAGGGAGGAGGAAGAAAGAACAGGGGAGAGGAAGAAGAAGTAGAACAAGGAAGAATGGTTTCTGTATTTGATATTTGATGCCCCAGTTTACAATTTACTTCCTCTATTTATATGACTTCCTAATTACAAAGTGATCCCCCAATTAATTCCTATTACAACTAAACTCCCATTCATTACACTCAAGGATGTTGCTCTTCTGCCAGATCAGGTAGTAGAGCTCGCCGAGGGTGGCGCCGGCCTGAACCCAGCCGGATTTGGCGGCAGCGTCGATTTGGATGGAGCGGAAATTGAACATGTCGAGGATGAAGAAAGGGGAGCCGGAGACGTAGGAGAGGCCCTCGTAGTCGTGGCCACCGCTGCGGGTCTTCAGCTGGTAGCCGGCGACCTTGGTGCAGAGGAAGACGACATGGACATGGGGGATTTTGGTCGGGTTTATGATGATTGAGGGTTTGGGGTGGAGGACTGGAGGAAGTGTTGAGGCGGGAGTTACAGATGTAGGCCTGGAGAATCGAATTGAAGGTCCGGTTCGTGGGGAAGTAGACGAGGTCCAAGATCTTGTCTTCTGGGGTGGTGTTGGTTTCTAGGCAGTGGAGGAATGATTGGTACACGGAAGCATCGGCGGCGGCGGAGGCAGTCTTAAACGTTTTTGGCAATCTCAGTAACCAACCATGCAATTAACCCGAGTTTTGGTAGAGAAAATTCAACTTAGTAGGTATTTCTTGGTGTGGGTTATATAATCGTGAATCTCCTCCCAAGATTTATATTCTTATATTGCCCAACCACAAATTACCCTACCATAAATTAATTTGACATGACCTCCAGTTAAGAGTGTACATCTAGACTAGTATACCCAGTGGACCAACCCGGTCCGGCCGAACCCTTAGGGTAGGATCGGGGCAATATTTTTCTCAAGTGTAAGCTCTGGTATGTACTTTTCCTCGACAATACAAGTAATCTATTAGCGAAAATTGAACTCGCGGACTGCTTTGAGTATCAGCCTGCTCATAATAGCTTCCAATGGCTGAAGCAGCTGATGGAACAAGTCGATGAGGAGAAACTGGGACGGTGGAGTGTCCTCATGTGGTTCTTGTGGAAGGAAAGGAACGCCCAACTTTTCAACGGGGTGAAGGTGCTGGAGGAGGAAATTGTGATACGGGCGTGGAGTTTTTTTTAATGATTACCAACGCCACCAACAACAGCACCAGATACAATATGATAGAACCTGTTTCTAGGATTCTATCAGTCGGATTGTGGAATTGGGGATTTAGGGCTTAAGAACAGAATTAGGGATTTGAGAAGAGAAAGATAGGGAATCGGCCTAAGCCTTTAGAGGGATTGAGATCTAGAACTGAGAGGATTGGGAGATTAGGGTTTAGGAGAGTTTTCTTAATATTCTTCTTGACTGCCTCTGAATAAAACGCTAAGTACATATTTATAACGAAAGACTCGAAAAATCTAATAGACTATCATAATATGACTCAATGACTACTACCATATCTAATAATATCCTAATTATGATCATTATGATAGAATACATAAATCCAGTTTTCTATCATCTCATCCCCTTGAGACCAACCTTGCCCTCAAGGTTGACCAATTAAACCCACTTCTCCTCATGCCTCGTGCCATCCGCACGTGGAGTCTTTCCTTGCTTGCGCTTCCTCCTCTTCCAATTGCGTACTCGCATGAGACTTCTAGCACAAGCAACCACCCCTTCCTTGACTGGGCAGACTTCAAGCCCATTGCACCCCTCCTCGTAGTCACAGCCTGCTCGGTCCTCATCCTTCCTATCAAAGACCACAAAATAATGACTAGGTAACTGCTCCTCCTCGTGCTCAATATCTTCGCCATTTTTTGAATCTCGAGTAGTGCTCACTGCTGAAGGCAATCCAAATTTCTATTCAATTTCCAATCTCTTGGCACTTAATTGCTTGGGAGTAATAGTGGCAGCCCCATCCAATTACAAGCCCACTTGTCCCCTCGTTCTCCTCTAAATTCTTTGGACCTGTCTCCTTAAACCCAACGAGTCCACCTCTCTTCAACAGTATCATTTATAGCTGAAAAGTAAAACTGCAAGCCCCATTCAAATTTCCCTGCCCGTAGAGTGAATGTAGGAGGCTGATGTGGCAGAGCATTTAGGCGGGATTAATGTAAAAATCTCGAGTTTAAGAGTGAAAAGTAAAATTGCAACCGCCCTTCTTCCTCTACCTTTTTGTTTTTCGGAAATCTCGTTACTGTTTCTTTCACTTTCTCGCATAAGAAAATTCCTTCCTTCTTCCTATACCTTTTTGTTTTGCAGAAACCTCCTTCCTATTCCTTTCAGTTTCTCGCATAAGAAATCTCCTTCTTATTCACAATTTCAAACAATTCGAAATCCCTAATTATTAGCAAGTCGACGGCGCCACTCGCTGACGAAAGTCCTTGTGAGTGGGGAGATCACGATTGGGAGTACAGAGGACAATCCTGGCGCCGGATAGGTTGTCGACGAGTGCGGATTTCATCTCCGGCAGCCAGCCCACCTCCCCCGCAGCCCATTTAGGCGGACTTTGTATCATCCGCCGTCGCTGAAAACGATCGATCTCCCTCTCTCTTTTTCTGTTTCCATCCCGTATTTAAAAGAACCGCACTCTCCGTTGAATCTCCATCCAACACAGCTCTACACCACAAACCTCCTCCACTCCCAAAGAAAACCGCTACTCCAGTTTCTACTTCGGCCTCTACTCTGTCGAATTTGCCTCCACTCTTGGTCGACGCTTCCTCCAGCACTCTCCCCTTCCGTATGGGAATTGCCACTCCTGCATTGCTCATAGCCCAGAGAGGTATCAATCTGCGTCCTTGGTTTGGGAATTGTCAACCAAATCTGCCTCCGTTCTCGGCCGTACCGCTGTTGGGGTCACGAAATTGGTTTCTTTAACTAGAAGTTTGGGAGGTTAGCTCTTCTGATTTTCCGTTTCCCTAAAATCGTCACTCTCTGCTCTCTGGTTGAGATTCAGGTCTCTTGCTTTCCTTTGCTGTCTGTCAAACTCAAAACTTCATTACCCACCATCAACCCACAACAATCTATTTCGTTTTCCCTTTCTGTTCCTGTGCGATTTCCTGAGACTGCCAATTGGCTGTGGATTTCTCCATATGCAGACTTTCAGAATCACTTTGACATTGCTGTGGAATTTGTTTGATGGATAGTTAGTTTCTTTTCTGCTATGAATTCCATTGCTGCCTCTGGGATGCACAGACAACGATCCTATTATGGATTTCCATTCCCAAATCTAAACCTCAACCTTTTCTCTGCCAAAGTATCTCATATGGGAGTTGATTGGTATCCTTAGCTTACGTTCCATGGTTGAAAAATCTGATTTCATAGATAGAATTAACCCCATTTCATATAACATGATCTATTATAAAATTAGCTATAGGAAGGCCCTAGCTTTTCGTGCACCAGTTCTAGCATTCCATAATTACATCTTCTACTGCCTCTAACATAGAATTCCATATTTTTATCAACACTGTGTGAGACATCTAAACTATTAGATGGAAACACATTACTGAATGTGATGTAGGGGATAGTGACATGCCAAGTATTTGCTTTTCATTTCGTTAATGAGGATGTTATCATTTTATCATATTACTGATATTGAAAAAGAAACCAGTAGGTTCTTAAGCAAGGCAAGCCAATGGGATGTCATGAAGGTGAAACAACTAGAAAAGAAACAGAGGAATTTGTTGCCTTCGCAGGAAAAAAAGCAAATACTGGGCATGTCACTATCCAGCCGACTGCCCATTTCCAGCCCTGCACTCTTCATCGGCAATAACCCAGAGTTCTGGTAACGGCAACATGAAGCCTGCAGATAGTGGGAAAAAGGAATAGGGTATTGGGTTAAAGCAATTTGGGATCAACACAACACTTCTTTCCCCTGTTTCTTAGTATCGTGCTTAGCAAAGTGTTGAACTTTATAGCATTTCAGGACTGCACGGTGTGAGTATCTGATTACCATAGCAGTTTAATTGATCAAGCCAATCAAAATTCTTACTACCACCTGCTATAGAGCTGATCTATTTCGTATTGCATATATATGCATAATCATTTCTTTGGGTGTTCCTTGGTATCTACTCTCTGGTACAGTGGTACTTAATCCTCTACTCATCAGAAGTTAAAGAATTGGGAACCATTACAAATAGAGCTAAAAATATATGGACCAATAAAATAAAAAAGCGACAGATGTTGATTAAAATGAAAAGAAAATTAGTGCGAAGAAACATGCATCAGTCTAAAATCCAAATACTCTTAAACTCACACTTTTGTGTTGGAGAAGGGAAAAGAAATTAGTTGAGGTGCTGAACAGTCCATTTCTTTAACTAAGTTCGCTGTTACTTCTCCATGTTCGTGCGTTTTCCTCTTTCCTTACAGTTCGTGTGAATTTTGGTGTGGTTGTCATAGGTGTACATTGTTCAATGTAAATAACTGCATTTCTTGAGGTGTTCCAGCAGGTTCCTTTGTATCTTTCTCCTATTGTTGAAGCAACATATCAGGTCCTTCATTAGAGATTCCTTTGGCTATGATGAAGTGATTCTATTTTCTGTATTGTGATGCTCCAGGTTCTTGGTTCAAGTGTAAAGCGTTGGAGTGAAGCTTGAAGGCCTGCCTTATTGATGCGTTCAGTGAGAGAGATTTCGATGTCCGAGGTAGTTGTTGAAGTCCTGTTGCGATGTGCCTTCTAATCTCCCTTGACCCTTCTCTGTTGTTGTACATTATATTTATGTTTGCTTTTGCTCTGTTTGTTCTTGACTAACCCTGATTTAGTGTTTTAATAATTTTTGCAGTTCGGTTTGCTCAACAAATAACGAACAGATCTGGTCAAGGTAAGGCTCTTTCCATGGCGTTCGGTTTTTGGAAGTCTAATATCCCTGTGTTTGTCTCTATTATTCTCTCTTTCCCGGGGTTTTATTTGGTTTTTACTGTGGTTAGAATGCTCTTGCAGTGGCAGTAGGCTTTACATATGGTATGATATATTGATGATTATGATTGGGAATATCCTCTTTGTACAATGATGCTTTAAACAACTGACATGGCTGCTGTGTTTGGAAGGAAGTCTCAAATTGTAGTTTTGAATCAAATGGTTTAGTTTGCTTTTGTTCCATCTGCCCATATTAACTTTTCGTTTAGTTGAAAAAAAGATTGTTCCTATTATGTCCTTGAATGGAATGGGTGTTCGGAATTGGGGGCTTTAGAGAAAGGTGTTGTGAGTTCACAGGTCACAGGACATGCTATAGAATTTAGGTACACCATTTTTCAAACAATTATTCAGGAAAAATGAAGGTTCTCCAGTATGTTAATGTAACTATGGCCCATTCCAGTGACCGTAAGGGATGATGTCAAAAAGCAAATAATTTTTTTAGATATTGCATCAAGTAGTGCAGCTGCTCCTATTCCTTTCAAAACGCACGCAGTTTTCAACACATGGAATGATGAATGTGGCATAGGTAAACTTACCGCTTTTCATTGAAATGTTTTTCAAATTTCAGTCTCAATTTGTTGTAATAGAGTGGTTTATAATTCAATAATCAAGTAGTGACTGAGGGGTAGGAGATCTAGAAGAAAAGTTTTCACAGCAAAACTATAAAAAAATGCTTTATCTCATGAAACTACACGACCCTCTAACATGTTTTAAAAAATTACTGTCACGTTATAAATTTTCGTGGATGCTCCTTGGGGGTTATGAGTCACTAAATTAGTTAGTTTGGTTTGAGCTGCTACGCTTACTATATTAGTACTATAATTCCAATAGTAACATGGGAAGCAACAAAAATTATGTGCTTATTAAGTTGGGTTTGCCTATAGTATGATCTTTTGGCATGAAACTGGAAATGATTTGTAGTTGTATCCTTTTTGTCTTCTTCTTTATGCTTATATTAGGTTTCTGTGCTCTTGATACATTGTTATACTGCTGCTGACTTTTTGATGGTGCTTAGTTAATTAGGATTTCCATGACTCTCTCTTTTGATGTATGAAAGTATGAAAGGATCATGTCACATTCAATCCTAATGCTATATCCTCTTAAAAAAATTATGCAAAGCCCCATATTCTAATTTTCAATCCAATTAATAATTAGCAGTGGCCTAAGAAAACCTGGATAATGTACATTAACTAGGGTAAAAATCTAGACACAACAAAAACATGTTTCGACTAATTGGTAACAGAATGCTCCTCTGTGCACACATCATGTTGTTTAGAACTTTTAATTTCTAATCGATTTAATGCTTCGCCTTATGAGTTTACGTTAGTGTCTAAGTTAGTGTCGAAGCCTCAAATTTACCTAGGCTGAACTACTGGATTGTGGTAGGAAAACAGTTTCAATCTTGGCCTTGAGATACTAGAATAGAATTTAAGTTTTAGTTTCAGTCTGAGCCTGAGTCTTGGTTAAGTTATTTCAGCTTTTAGCTCCTCAGATATAATGTCTTCCTTTGTATAAATTGTTTAAACTGCTCCATGATTAATAGGTCATACTTCTGAAACTAACCCAATTAAGTATACTAGAAATCCATTTGCGCTTGCTTTCAAGTATATCTCTTTCCATTGCTAATTGCTTTCTGTTCTTCTGTGTTGGTGCTGCGGTGTTGCTAAATATTTACTGTTGTCCTCTACACTGTAAGTTGGAAGCATTGATATGGAATTGAGACATGTGCTTGTGCTTTTGTGTTTTGGTGAGTGGTTTTTTAACTTGAATTTGTTTCAACACAGGCTTGCCAGACTCACTTTTATGTTCTCAGCGAGTATTCTGCTACAAATACTGCTATGCTTTCACTCTCATTGGTTGGGAATACGGTATCCCTGCATAGTTGCTACAAAATACATGGCACTTAGAAAAGTTGTTACTAACAAAGTTAAAAATTATCCAGGAAGTCATTCAGGTGTTGTTCAATGCTTACAAAAGTTGGTAGGCATCATTAAGCTAACTGGAACGGACAAACAAAGAAGCATCATAAGGACTTTGGTACCCCAACTTCCAAGCAATTGCATTGTCAAAAGGTGTATCGTCTCCAAACCTTCAGCTACCACGAGTGTCATTTCATTTCACTACGAAGCCAGGACCTTTCGGCGGCTATGCACGAGGATGGTTGGCGGGCGTCATAGTTGTTGATGGCTGCCAATTTCATTGTCGAATAGGGGTTTTCCCGGACATCCTCTCCAGCTGCAGAACGTGAGGTGAGATCTTTTCCATCTCTTCTCTTTCATCTCTCATGACTAGGCTCACCACTGGTTGGATACAGTGTTGACTCCATCTTTGTTACTACTGTACTGTGATTATAGTTTGTAAACTTCTGTTTGTATACATTAGGTTCTAATATGTAATTTTGCATATATTATGCACTTAATTTTTTTAATAACGGAAATTTGTTAACTTTATCATATTTTAAAGTACCATTTATAAGTTTATCATATTATTTAAGAAAATAAAAATCTTCCTCATTCAGACTCCTCTATTGACATATACTTCAAAAAGATCCCCTACAAGCGCAGGAAGAGGAGAGGACCACGGTCCACGTACCCACCACCGTTAGGCGGGTAAAGATGGATAAAAAAAGTTTGAAAAATGTGACATCGGTTATTGTCACTGGATAAAAAAAAAAGAATGGAAAGAAAGAAAAAAGTTTAATCTACAAATTTTTGTAGTGAAAATAGAGTGGAAAACGTACGTCGTACAACAATGCAATGAGATATTGTCTTCCAATTAGGGCGAACTAAGCAATAAAAATAGTTATAAACTAATAACCCGTAATATCACCAATAGCGAGTATCATGAATATTACTTTCAAATCATGTGATCAAATCAAATAAAATAGGAATGTTGGTAAACATAAAATATACAAAATAAAAAGAAATTTGTTCCTAAAAAAATGAAATGAATCCGACCAAAGGTCGGGTAGAGGCTAGTTTTATTTAATTTAAACCCACTCAAATGTTCCCCAAGCAGGCAGCACAGGTGTGGCCCAATACCCGTTTGAAGATGCGGCCCGGTCTGTTGCTCCACTTGGCCTGAAATAAATCCAGTCCACTCGACCCGGCCCAACTAGGCAAGTTGTTGTGCGGGCGGCTTAGGGTTCGCGAGAGGCAGAAACACGTCGTCCTCCTTCCTCCGTCGTTTCCTCCCCGTCTTCGTTCCCAGCAGCCCCGTCGGCGGTGAAATAGTCCTCCCACGGCAGCTAGGAATCCAGTCTGATTCCGACCTCGCCTCCTCCTTGGTCGATACCGCCACGGGGGACGTCGTACTCGTCCTCCGCTCCAGCCTCCTGTCTGTCGTCTCCTCTGGCGACTCACGAGGAGGCTCCTCGTCGCCCTTCGCCTTCTTCTCCCTATCCTCCATCATTCCTGGCGGCGAGCGAGGAATCTCACCGCCAGCCCTCGAATTAATCTCCCCGATACCCGACGCCACGAACGGCTCAACCTGCCCACTTCGAGACTCCTTCCTTGGCGGTAATGCTCTCCTCCATCGGCAAAGTGGAGTCACCTCCACTTTGGTAATAAAAAAAGTCACCTCTCCACTTTCCCTTGCTCTCAGGCTCAGCTCAATCTCCCGCCAAAATTCTCAAAATCCCCCAGCTTCCATCCGTTTCTTCACCTGCAATTCTGCAGATGTCGAAGTCGAACACATCTTCTTCGTGGATCGCCCAATTCAAACCGGGCGACCGGGTCGAGGTCAGCTGCGACGACCCCGGGTTCCGCGGCTCCTGGTTCGCCGGCACCGTCATCCGCCGCGAGGCGAAGAACCCTAATCGCTACGTAGTCGAGTACGACCAGCTCTACGAGGACGAATCTGGAGAGAAGCTGCTGCAAGAAACCCTCGATTGGATCCAATTGCGTCCACCGCCGCCTCCCGAGAAGAAGAAGAAGAAGGTCCAGTTCAAGTTCGGCGACGAAGTGGAGGCCTTCCACAGCGACGGCTGGTGGGAAGGGGCTATTACTGCAGAGCACTCCGGCAGGAAATTCGCGGTGTTCTTCAGAGGCTCAAAGGAGCAGATCGTGTTTGAAGAGAAAGATTTGAGGTTGCGGAGGGAGTGGGTTAAAGGGAAGTGGGAGCCGCCATTCGAGCAGGTTCAGCGGGAGAAAGAGGTGAGCTAATTCGATTTTATGACTTTTCCTGCTCCGTTGCTTGGTATGACAATTTTAGGGAATTCTGAATCTGGATCTAGTTAGGTTGAGGAAAGTAGAGAATTGGGTGATCAGAGATGGCATTTGTTCTTGTTCACAATGTCTCAACCTCGTTGAATCGCTTCATAAACATGCAGAGGTCGCTAGAGAAAATTGAAACTAGGCCAAGCAAAGTAGCAAAACGTGAGAGTTCTTCTGTTAGCGATGCAAAGACACCAGAGAATAACTCGACGAATGTTGGAAAAGGGAAGAAGTTGTCTGAGCCAAAGGCAGACTCAAATTGTCCCAAGGAAGTGATGAAGTTCACTCAAGGAATGCAAGTCGAGGTGACAACTGACGACGATGGTTTCAAAGGCGCTTGGTTTGCTGCAACAATTATTGAACCTTCGGGTGAAGACGAGTACCTTATTGAGTACAAAACCCTGACGAATGATGATGATACTGAGTTTCTCAGAGAAGACATTCGTTCTTGCAACATAAGGCCTTGTCCGGCGGAGACCATTGTTGTGGATGGATTCAAGGTGATGGATGAAGTAGATGCTTACTACAACGAGGGCTGGTGGGTTGGCGTGATTGCAAAGGTTTTGATCAACTGCAAGTACGTGGTTTACTTTAAAGAGACTGATGAGAAGATAACGTTCAAGCAGGCTGATTTGAGGCCACATCAGGACTGGTTGAACGGCAAATGGGTTGTTCCTTCAGAGGTCTGAATTCTTATGCTCTCAAGTCTTAACACAACACACTACTAGCTTTTCTAGTAAATGATTTATTTGTACGGGCCTGCATTTAATGCATCTCTTTTTTATTGTGTTTGCCAAATTGGTTGTAGAGCTTGAGTGTGTGGAAATCTGATTGAACAGCCCAAAATGTATTAGAGAACTATGGCTAGCAAATGTTTTTTTTCTATGGGATTATGTTGGGAAAAAATTTATCTTTTGATGTTGAATTCTCCTATTCCTATAAAATTCAAAGTTCTGTCTGAACTAGAACTTGGGGTCTGTTTCATGAGGATTCTTCAAAATGGGAGGATTCTAAGGTGTAATTGTTTGGATGACTGATTTACAGAAGTTAATTATCGGAGAACACAGAGAGATTCGAATCTGAATTCTCTGCCGAAAGAAGAGATTGCATATCCATCCATTTTGAGAACCAATGTTGCTTGTTCAAAATGATTTGTGTACGGACTCTCATCTCATGTGAGAGATCACCATTGTTTCTCATTCGAAGGAACTCTTGTGTGAGAGTTCGCCATTTTCGCTTATTGTTTCACGTTTCGAACACACACCTATTTGGTGGATGTGCTGGGATTGGGAATCAATTAGTTAGCACTTGTGTTTATGTCTGCCTCTTTTTCCCCATGCCCTGAAGCAGTGATTTCAGGATGAAGAACAACAGGTTTTACTGAACATAAAGCAGTTGTTGATGGGATCCATTTAGTTCCTTCAGAGCTGTAGCAGCAAGATGATTGAACAGTAAAGAACCATTAGTCTCCTCAATCTCTTGTTTGCATTCCTCAGTATACTATTCACACTTTGTTAGCTCTTTTCTGGTTAAACAAACAATATCTGTTATCCCCCTGTGTTGAAATTTGGACCTCTTCTGACATGTGCCTTCCAATTGTATAATATTCAGAATGTTGCAGAAGTTGTCGATATCCCAACTGTTTAGTTAACAGCTGCATTGAACTCTGCTCACCCAAATCTCAGTCTTTAATCCATTTCAACCCGCAAATGCTTCCAAGGCTGTGCATGATCCGATTCGATTCATAATCAAAGAACCGAACTGAATCAAACTAAAAATCAAATCGAAAATAATGGACACAGGAGAACCATTCTGATTTTCTTTCGGCATGCTACTTTCTCTTCTTTTTCAAGAGAAATTAAGAAATTGAAACCCAGTAGGTCTAGAAATTTGAGACTAGTAACCCTTTCATTGCTTCTTCTTGCAGTTCAGATTTCTCTGAAACCCAGATGCCAGAAACCGATAAAGAAACAAACTTTTCGCAGAACAGTTTCAATTTTATTATCAGCGTGGAACCAAGTAAAGGTACAGGGAAGAAGAACAACAGCAAGAAGCTAAAACGACAACATGAAACAGGAAAGATTTGGCTCTTTCTTATAGCTTCTCTACTGAATCAAAGACACAAACTTCATGCTTCCTTCACTGCAACAGCCTCCTTCGCCGCCGGTTCCTTAGCAGCAGAAGCAGCAGCTCCCTCCTTAGCCGCTGGTTCCTTAGCAGCAGGTTCCTCAACCTCAAAAGCAGTAGTAGGGAAACTCCTGTACAACCCAGTTGGGGTCTTGAACGTGATTTTCCCAGTAGGCGGCTCGTCGGTGTAGATATCAGAAAGGGTTACCCAAAGCAGAAGCTCCTTGGTCTTGACACCGGTCAGCTTCTTGATCTTCCCCTTCTCCACCACAGCAGTCACCTCTGGCGCATAGCTCACGAGCTTCCCAATTTTGTCGAACTTGTGAGTGATGCTCTTCTTCTGCTTCAGCCAGACGAACCCTGTCTCCCTCACGATCCCACACTCCTCGATGTTGTGTAGTGGCAGCAGCCCATTGGGGAGCTCGATTTCCCTCAGCAGCTCCTTGGATTTGGCCTGGCAGATCTCGTCGCCATTGTAGACCTCCGAGGCCTTGGCCCTGATCTCTTCTGTGACCAGAGACATCTTCTCTTTTCTTTCTCGTGAAGCTAAAAGAGAGCAACTTTTCTGTGATGTTATGATGGAAGTTGAGAGGGTTTTTTTTTGGAGAGCTGTGTCGTTGTGGGGGGAAAAGGGGATGGCTTGCTCCATGTTCATATAGTAGTTGGGTTATGTATCTGGGCTTGGCAATTGGGACAAATTTCAGAAATGCCACTGCTTGTTTTGTTGTTGTTGAAAGTCCAAGATGAGTAGGAGGGTAGAGGACAGACAAGAGAAAAGGAGTTGATTATGGTGTTGGAGTTGGAGTGAAGTTAGTTTAGCTACATTTTTGTTATGTGGCGAAACTAGAAATTTGAAGATTAAAACAGAAAATATGAATCGATGGGTATGAATTATTATATTTTCTAAAAAATTTACATATAAGTTTACATGGTTTTGAGATTTGAGGATGGCGTGAAATGTGGTGTATAATATTCGCTCAGTTCTCCAATCATGATGTTTAGATCTTTCTCATTTATGATTTTATCCGTCCTAATTTCGATCCGAAAATCATATTTTCTGTTAGTATGATTAAGGCAAAAAGGGCAGTAAGAAAACGACTAACCAAAAGTTGCACAAAACTCAAACCCAATCAAGGTTACATTACTATAATGTAGCCATCTTTTTTATCTCATGGGTCACATATTATTGTGGCAAGCAAAGGGGAAATGGTGAAGGAATGGGCAGAAAGGGTAGGTGAATGGTAATTGATGGAAGGAAAGGGAAAGGGTTTTTGCGTTGCCTGCCTCATATTTATGTGACAGTTAGGAAGCATTTATGGCAAATATTAAGAGGCGGTGGATGGATGGGGACAGTTGCCCAAATTTCACCTATCTATTATGAACTTATGGTGATGGTCTGACGGAGGTGGGAAATAGGGTAATTGCCTAAAATGGTCACCAAAATTTCGTATCACTGCCAAATCAATCCCTAAGCTTCATTATCTTAATTTTAGGATCATTTAAGATTGAGATAGAGTACTTCATTTTATCGCAGTATGATGATTCGCCAAATTTGGAAATGAGGAGGATTTTATATTATATGTAACTAGCTAGGAATTATGGGGTGAAAGAAGAGTGACACCTTTTTTTATGAGGATGATTGTCGCAACTCGTAAGGTTTGAATATAGATTGTGTTGAATGTTATCGTATGATTTGTATCCACATTACGACTAGGCTAAGTTTTTGGATTATAATTGGGTTAAGTTACGAGTTTGATTTAGGATGAGTGTGAGTTGAAGCAAATCGTCTCTCCCGATTAATTAGAAACCTATATATGTTTATGTCACTTTATTTGGTTGAGTTTGCAGTCTAATTTCAATAATTAGAGCAAAAAGCAAAATAACAACTAACATCAGTTGTTTGAAACTCCGGTAACGAGTTCGTAAATATCAAAATTTAGTGACCCTAAAGCTGAGTGACCATTTATCTAATTATCTAATTAACATAAGAGGGATACTATGAGACCCAACCAAAAAAATTCAATAATAGCTAACCCTCACCCTTAGTTCAGTTCTTCACCCAATTTTCATTTTCCTTGCTTTCATCCCCATTCCATGGAGGATGTATTGCCATACTTAGCATTTAAGTTAGTATGGGGTGTTTGTTTGGTTTTAACTATAAAGAAATGTGCAAATTTAAGTAGTTACATATGAAGGAAAGGAAAAGTGTGATCAAGGAATAGTACAAACCTATAAGTTAAGTACAGGTTTAGGAGGAAATCGTTTTGTTTGAAAAGATCTCCCTCTTCAAATTTGACTTCATAAAATTGATCCAAAAAAATATCAATTAGATATCAAGAATCGATAGGTTGATTTGAGTAATCGGCAAATTCAAATCGACTCTCATCTTTATGATTGGATTAAGATCATTGATCTTGTGCTAGTATTCTTGTAGAAACTTATCTAGCCTCTTTCGGATGGAATGAAAGGTCTCTGCTTTCATGCAAAAAAATGCTGAGAATCAACTTAATTATCCTAATAAATTCCCACAGACAGTTCAAACAATATTTACTTTGTTTTTCTCTTATACGTTGTCAAAAATGCCTGCAATACTAAAGTTCATGCAAATATTGTTTCTTTTTTTTTTTCCCGTTGAGTGTGGATAATGTTTCAAATGTGTATAAACTTAGATAAACTATATCTAAGTGTACTGATTTCTTAACTAGCCGAGGACACTCCTTGCCCCTGGGTTTTCACCCAGTTACTGTTTCTGATCCTGCATTGCGGTATTTGATTTTGTATGACTGTCAGGGGCTCTCATAATCCGGTCTGGTTTTGAATGAAGGTTGAGATATTCTGCATCCATTTATATATATAAAAAAAAATTTCATGCAAATATTTTCCAACACAAAAACTTTAATAACTTATATAAAAATTAATTTGTTTCACTAACTTGAGATATCGTAGAAAATCAATTCTTAATTTGATTTCATCCCGAATCACCATTTTGATACCAATTTCAACTCAAATTATAAATAATTAATCAAACTATCACAAACCCACGAAACTTGCTAATCCCAAACTTTAGGACATAAATGATTTTAAGATTAGTTGAAGTATCGTGTCAAGCTAACTAAATCAGGACAATGTGCAACTATGCAAGTACTTAAGCAAAGCCAAAATGAGGGGCCAAGTGGCACCCAATGGGAAAGGCTTTCTTCATGATCTCTTGTCACTTCCTTCCCTTCCTTTCTTGTGCCATGTTCTTCAAGCTAATGCCCATTGCAACATTTGGGAAACCCTTAAGAAAAAGTACATTCCTTTTTTGCCAATTGTTGCAAAAGGGATGCCAAGTTGCCAACAGAGAAGAAAAAAGATAGATGCCAAACAGTTATGGCCAAGGGTAGGGGTAGTAAATGATATGAAGCAAATTACTAACTGCCCTCTTCTTGATGCATCAATTCAATTCATGTCCTTGTATTGTCCTTTCCGTGTCACTCAATTCCATAAACGACACACTAGTTTTATGCACGAACGGATTAATGACATGGATTGAATATACGATCATGTATGTGCAAAATATTATATATAAGAGGGTTGATAACATAGATCGAACATACGACATGTGTGTGCCGAACCAACAACACTACCAGCTAGGCTTCTCCTCTTGTCTCTGCATAACATCCTTGGGATATGCTATAGCTCCTGCTACTCCATCATCACGCCCCGCTGGTGCTAATGAGATGGTCCACTCCAATCTCCTTGATGCGCAAGTATGTAGTGATATTAACGCAATCGATATATTAGCTAGGAAGAGGAAGGGAGTCAACGTGATCACGAGCAGTATAGGTTCGATTTTGATCGAGCTACCTTAGTAAAAGCATGAGTTGCTACAAGTCATTCGGGAAAAAATGGCTTCTTTTTTCAATCCTAAGACGAGTGGACAGACAGTTTGACACACTAATCTTCGACAAAGGTGTCACTAATCCAAACTTTAGCGACGAATTTGTTACAAAATATCATCGATCATTTATGCATTCAACCCCTACTCTCCCAATAGGACAATACATTAATTTGTTTAGTATAAATATGATATGATATGTCTCCTCCATGGTCCCTGTTCCAAACTTGTCAACGCAAGCCAGCCACCACGTCGTAGCATTTACTCATTTTTCTCAACTTTCAACAAGGAGCGTCCAATCCAACCCCTAAAATAAATTCTCGACACAAAAGTGAATTCAGCTATCCAGACTATAGACCAAGACGTAAGAATGGGTCGTCAAGTTAAAAAGATGGAAGCTTTCATTATATCACAAGAAATGAAGGACGTGAAGGACGTGAGAGACAGAGACAGAAAGCTCAACCCATTGATGCTTCAATGGCTGGCTGCTGTTCTTTTGCTGCAAATCTTCTGCCTGCCATGGAAGGACACACTAACCAAGGAAACAAGCTTACATCAACAAATAAAAAATTATTGACTTAGGTAAGAAGTTATTCAATAACATATCGATGTCTCGTAAAATCCGAATAAATTCGGATACATGAAACAATAAACATTTTCAAAGAGTACATTAGAAACAAAGATCAATTATTTATATAAATAATAATCGAAACTTGATCGAGCAATAGACTGAACGATCACAAAACGAGCGACCGATGAACACAAACATTTTTACAAAAAAAATAAAGGAATCGAATTAGTCCTGTTGCTTGTAAACCACGACAGGGCTTCTAACGCTATGCCCAGGGCTTCTCCACACAAGCTCTCCGGACAGAATCCCAGAATACCCGGCAATGGGCTCTGCCTTCACCACAACCTTGAAGCTCCTCTCCTCGTTGACGCGCGAGAAAGACAGAGTCATGGGCTTCACAGTGATCTCCATACCTTTGGGAGCTTCAATGGTGGCATTGTAAACCACCGGATAGGGCCCGCGCCCAACGTTGGTCACCATCCTCTGGAAAGTCGCCACTGTCGGCTTCTGCTGGCTCTTCACTTGCATTTGGATGGTCGGATAGTTCAACGCATCGTAGCCAAGCCCGGGAATGATGGTGGAGCAGTTTATGGATTTCGACCCAACTAGGACCGATAGAGACGAGCCCTTGTAGCCTTCGTGGCAGAGGAATTGAACGTATGACATCTCGTCCATGTCATACACCAACCCCGGGCTTCGAGCCCTGACAGGATTCAGTTGTCCTGCTCCGTATGCGAACTCTGCATCGTTGTTCACCCTTCGGCTCATTTGTTTAGCTTCGGTACAAGACAATTGGAATCAAGAAACAGTTAGGGGGAAGAAGATTGGCAGAGAAGACATACATTTTCTACCTAGTACCATTCATTTTGTTCTGTTACCTTACCTGTAGTGAGGATGGCAGATTTGATGGCTGCGGCAGTCCAGTTGGGGTGGAAGGATTTGACATATGCGGCGGCTCCAGCAACGTGTGGGCAAGCCATGGAAGTTCCGGACATGAGCGTGAAGTCAGAGCGCTGGGTGTCCCCGTCTAATCCGGTCAGTGTCCTCAATCGAGTGTACGCTGCTAAGATGTCGATTCCAGGTGCTGCTATGTCAGGCTTCCAACATTTTGGCAATTTTTGTTACAGCCAGCCCCGCACAACAAACGAACTATTAGCAAATCACATGTAGTCATGTAGATGATTCCTTGATGCAGTAGGTATACGTACGTACATACATACCTTGAGAATGCGAGTCGACCCTGGATTTGGACCTCTGGATGAAAACGAGGCTACAAATGGAGCATCCACTTTCCCTTCTTGTGTATGGTATATCACAGCTCCTGGTGATCTGTTGTCAATGCCATGCAACGCAGACGTAGTGGTTATGAATTGAAATCGAGGAGGCTTTGTGTTGTGACTAATCAGGAGGCAGTAACAACAAACACACCTTGTGGAATGAATGTAACTGTCAATGCTGTCTCCGACTGATGAATTTACCATTGTGGCTGGTGCCATGAAAATTTGTGCAATGTCGAGATATTGCTCACTCTCAACTATTGTCCCTACACCTCCCAAACTTTTCACGACAGAATCCCTACCCCACTGCCCTAGCTTGCAGTAAACTAGCTTTCCCTTCACCTTCTTTGCGTCCAGCGATCCATCATAGCAGAATCTGCAATTGTTTTACCCAGCATTATTTAGTGTTGTTTGTGATCGTTATGTCTCGTCGCCAAAGTGCTTATTAACTGTATGATTAGTTTGATGATAAAAGATACCTTGCAGTCTCCTTGTTATCTTCATCAATGGCCGCATCAAATCCGCTAACCAGAGGGTAAAGCTTCTCCTTTGGCTGGAAGAGACTCACACCAGTTCCCTTTAACAACAAACCACAACCATGTTTAGTTTTTTTATTACTAAACAGCATCTCCCTACTTCTTTAGAGAACCTTTCATAGACTCAAAATTTATTATTTTTTACTGAAATTTCACCATTTTCAAGCTAAACTAAAACAAACATGCACACAGAACTTACCGAGAAAATCTTGCCATTTCCAAGTTGTACTTTGCTCTGAAACGTCCTATCAATCCCACTAGCTGCCACAGTCAAGATCCACGGCGCATGGTTCCTCACAGAAGCTGGGTTAGGCCCATCATTCCCAGCAGATGCCACAGTTAAAATACCATTCTTGGTCGCATGGAATGCACCGATGGCTAATGCATCAGATGTATATTCCGCATTCACACCACCGATAGAGATCGATATGATATCAACGCCATCGTGTATCGCAGCTTCGAATGCAGCAAGCAAGTCCATATCGGAACAACCGTAACTGACCCAGCAGACCTTGTACATGGCAATCCTGGCTCCGGGCACTGCTCCACGAGCTGACCCTCTGGCTAGCCCAAACAGGCTGGCTTGAGGGACCAAGTTCCCGGCTAGGGTCGAAGATGTGTGGGTCCCATGGCCGTCCACATCGATTGGAGATAAAATGTCGCTTGGGTCTGGGTTCCCGTCTAGCTTGAAGTACTTGGCTCCTATTATCTTGCTTTTAACAGTTCCCGCGTTAATAAGACTATTAATTATTTGGACATGCAACAAAGCACAAATGGGATGGATAAAAACAGAGTTGTGAAATTACTTGTTGCATCCGGAGAAGTTGGCGTGGCGAGAACAAGTGCCGCCTTTCCATTTCTTAGGTGGAGGGCCAAAGCCATGATCGTTGAAGCTGCTAGATTGTGGAGTGATACCTGTATCCAGAAGACCCACGACTATGTTCCTCTCTGTTTTAAGGTTTCTCTTTGCCGTCTTGGGAAGTCCAAGGAAATCCCATGATTTTGTCGTGTCCAGCTTGTGATAACGGTTTGGGAAGACGCCAAGGACTTTCTCATGTCCTGACCACCACCAGAATCACCCCATTTGACAGCATTAGCAACTAACGAAACCAGCAACTTGGAAACGAATACGTAGCGATGAACAAAACATAACGTTATGTCGATGAGGCTAGTTACTTGATAGCCTTTGGGCTTCACTTGGAGACAGTTTGGCTGCAAATGCACTGAAGCTCTTGGTGTAACTATACACCATGTCATCCACAGCTTCATCATTGCTATTTCCCACATTAAAAAAACCCACGGTTAAGCGACTTAAGTTCAATGAAACTAAAGCTTTCCTTTCCACTCTATATTTCCTCACCTCTTGACAGAGGACAAGACATGCATATGGTGTTCAACTGCCGAGACACCCTCAGGTGGATCTCCTAGATAAACAATGTGGAAATCCTGTTTATCACCATTGCAGAGGAAAACTAACAATCATTGATCACCTCGAGCATTAAAATATAACCGATGCTAGTAGAAAACAAAAGGAGCAAGCTGAAGAAGCAACAGACCTTTTGTTCATTACCAGCAGCAGCAGCAGCAGAAGAATGAGATGCATGGGTAATCAAGACTTGAAGCAGAAGTAAGAAAGTGAGATGGTGAACAGAGGTGTATATCTTCTTCATAGTAGGAGGAATTGGCAATGGCTTGGTAGTCAATAGTGAAACACTTTTTATTTATACTTATTTCCAATGCTCGTTGGCCCTTCCCAAAAGGAATAAACAAGATCAGAGTACCCACAAAACTTTTACTTAAATCCTTTAGCTAGATTCTTGTAAGGGTATTCATTTGGAAACCTTAGAAGGCAGATCAAGCATTGAAATTCCAAAAAAAAAACACCAGAACTGAGCACAAGTTGATGTTTCTTTTTATGTTTCAATTTTACAAATTAAGCAGCTACAGACTACGTTCTAGTTTGTTGATTGGCCAATTTTATGGTTGCTGTGTGCCTAAGACCTTCCTTTCAAGGGAACTTAAGACCTCAGAACCAGTTCTTTCATGAATTAAATATCATTGATTGTTAGGTGAAAATGTTGCCAATAGACAAATTATCCCCAAACGTGAAGCTTCTGCTTTCCATTAGTCCCTGGCGGGTTATTTTCCTTCCATAACCACTAGACAAAGACCTTTTTTTTTTAAACATGACAAAAACCATAAATTGCTGCGGGTGACAGAAACCGTCATTGGAGTAATTTTTTTATATATAGAAATCCACGGTTATTGTTTGTTTCTAATTTTCTTTTTTCCTTTTGTATGAACTCTACTTTCCAGAGATTATTTTGTAAAAGAGCATCTGATTATCTCGTCGTTATTCTGTTATTTTTATTATTTAAATTCTACTGGTTTACACATATCATATTGACAAGTTAATACAATACAAATATACAATAAGAATGCCGTCCTAAAAAACAAAAAGAATGCCGTCAATCCCCATTAAAACTACAGGTTTTTTTATTAGAAGAAGAAATAGTTACTTCTTACTAAAGTATCAGCTTACTACTTCAAGCCACTAGTAGCTAACATAAACAATATATAACAACAGCTTCATTAACGATCAGAAGAAATTCAGACGAACCTATAGATTTTGGATTCAGGTGATGGTAGGAATTGCTTCCACTGTGTTTCAGAATTCCCATCTCCGCAAGTCCTTTACGCATCACTGAGACCTATTTTTGGAGTAACCATGATGGATTGAGGGTCACTTCATAAACAGTCTACGACCAAAACAATTGCATCTGGTAAAATGTAAACATTGACTCTGAAGGAAAAATACTGAATCATTATGGATCTGTCGAATGCTTGTTCCAGGTCTGCAAAGCTCTATGAATTCTTTGTTTGTTCGAAGAATAAGATCTTAAAGTTCTTCCTGGAACACACACTTCCGCCATCAATTTGAACACACACTACAGAATATCACAATTAACACTACCGCTAAATTGATGGCTTTCAATGTTGGCGAGCAGAAGCACAGGACGAAGCTCATTAGTAACTGGTAGATTAGCTACCAATCATTGAGAAGATGACATAGAGGACTAGAGGAAGAAACCTAAGATTCGGAACTTGAAAGCATGAGATTACTAGTAATCAGAATTGCAAACAGAAAGACACATGATTGTCGACTAACTAGATTAGAATTTCGATTGGCCACTTCTTAACCATATAAATCAGAGATGAAAACAGGTTACAAGAATCTCAGTCAAGAAACTTCATAAGGGAACACTTACGCCATCCTATGAGCACCTCTCATTCTGCTTTTGTATTCAACTTTTGCAGCCAACATACTCTCGTATGAGTAACTCTTGGAATGTAGCATTGTTTGCAAGAGAGCCTAAACAATAATTGAGAAAATAATAATAATTAGAAAGACTAGCAAGGGATTTCGACTCCAGCATGGAAACTATAGCAAGGTGGAAGTACCTGACAAACAATTGGTGCAGAGTCTCTCATCAACTTGCAGCACCAAAAGCTCCTTCCTTCTTGAGATTACTCATGGCCACTTGTACAAGGTGTAACTAACCCTTCTTTCATCAGCTGCAAAAAGGCACAAGTGTGTGACAAAACAAATTAGCTTCCTTCATAAGTAAACATGTCTATGATGTCAAAGCAATCCGTCGCAATTGAAGAAGTTTGACATATACAATGATTGGGAAGAGCTAGAACTAAGCCCCTGGGGATGAGCAGCAGGAGATGGCTGACTGATATCAAGGACATCGTTGTTAGAATACTTGTAACACCCAATAACCTGCAGCATAACAGCACCATTTATATCTGAAGCAAAACAGCTATGACCTGCTAAATGGAGCTGTTGGGCGTACAACTGATAAACAAGCGCAAAATTGCAGCGTTGGAAGTTTTCACGTATTTAAGGCAAGTCCCTAGCAATTTTGAAGCTAGATCGCTGGTGTCTGCAGTGATTTAGCTACATTGCATCTGTTGACAGCAGTTTGGGTAAAATTGGCGGACACTACAGCAATATCCAGCACAAAATTGTGTAATTTTAGGAAATGTTGGTGTATGCACAGTATGTGCTGTATAGTGAGATTTTTTTTTGGTACGTTTGGTATATTTTCAAACAAATCCTTTTTCTTTTGATATTCATAAAATGGACCCTGTGAACAAAGAAAAATGAGAGCATGGGGTAAAAGAGACCAAGAGAGCAGAAGTAAAGTACTCGGTGCTGAGTTAAGTAAACTGAAAATCATATAGTAGCTAGCACTTAGTTCAACGAGATACAATACAAGCAGCAAAATCTCATGACGTCCTATCCAACCAACAAAAAGCATCAAATAAATCGATGCAGAAAAGATTTGATATCATCAATGTAAGGATGGCGAGTAGGAATGATATGGCCGCAGCCATGCTCAAGCACAACAGAGCAGCCATCCTCAAATAGGGAAGCAAGGTCTCTGCTAGCTTCATTGTCAATCTGCCTATCCTTGCCCACAACACTTCCAAATATATGCAGCGAAGGGATTTTAATCGACCCATTTTCAATCTTCTTGCCAAGTGGTGTGACGGCAAACCCAGAGCATAAAATTGCAAACCTGAAATTGATTTCACCCTTCAGATTTGGTTCTAACGAACAAATAGATGCAGCCATTGCTGCCCCTTGTGAGAATCCCAGGATCCCGTCGAATGGTCCGTCAAGTGCAAAGATGGACCTTAAGTGTTCCACTGAAGCATCAAATCCTTCGGTTTGCTGTTGGTATTGAAGCGGATCGAACCGAGCATCTGCCGCTTGCCAATGGGTTTCACTGCTTCCCGTCCCATCTGGTGCTATAAACCAGGCAAACTTCCTCCTGCAGTTATCTGGTGGAGGTGGTGGTTGCAATGAAGGGGAAGAAGATTCTTTCGCATGATCTTGAACAGGGCAGTAGATGTAAGGTAACTCATGAGGTGCATCAACAAAGACGAGCTCTGCAATTTTTTTCAGTTTCTTGGCTAAAGAGGCGGTTCTTCCTTTAAAACTGGAAGCATTCTGCCGAAACCCATGCAAGCATAAGATTCTTAGCTTTCTTGGAGCGCCGACATCTGTGTTATGCAAACGGAAAATAAGGTTACAGCAGAGCATTTAAACAGCAGATAATCTCTTACTCAAAATGAAGCAGATAAATAGACTCAGTGAGACATACGGACCTTACCCTGACCAGCATCGGAGGAACAATAAACACACTCATTTTCTGTTGTCAATTCTTTGGGTTTGCCAATATCTGATGACGAAATTGACTCAACACTCCTGCCATGCCTCTGGCAGAGCTCACAAACATAGATGGCCTCATCTGTCTGGTCATCCTCACAAACAAAAGTGTCAAAGACAGCTGATGGGTGCAAAATCCAAAAAGCATGAATACAGGCCAAGGTGACACATAATCTAGAACTACACACACACATCACAGAAAAGAGCATACGTCCTCCCAAGACTTTCATGCAGCAGCAACCGTGGCATAATGAAGTTAATTATTTCACAAAGTAGTATGGAGAACTTATGATATAATCACCTCATCTTAGGTTAAACATGTTCTGACAGAATAGAGAGGGTAGTGGTTGAGCATACCTGACATTTACTACACACCAACACAAGCATTCTGCAGTGGAAGCATCTGCAACGTGATGAATAATCATCGAAAGACAAGCTACACAACAGGCAAGCACCCAAAATCTTGGGGTCTGAGCTCGCAACTGATATTCTGAGGCAAAAAAATTCAAGCAGTAAGAATTACAGCTGACTCGGTCTTTATGCAATGTACTCTTAGAAGGTGCATCATGCAAGCATTTGTTTGACGGTGTTACTAACAAATCCTCGATGCTAGGTAAGAGGGGAAAGGGTACTACTGCTCAAGGCAATATTAACAGGAACACTATCCAAACCTACCGGTGATCAAAAACAAAATTCTTCCCTTTGAAATAGCCACCATCAGGGAATTGTTCCAAATACCGCTGTATACCACCGAATAACTGCAAACATATCAATTTTACAGAGCACTATCGCCATTCAATATCAATACATAACGACGTAGCCTTTTGTGCCAATTGGCAAGCATTTAACAAGCTCTCCTCATCTCAAGAACCTTACCTGAAACACATTCTCAAATCCAGCACCTTTTGACTTAATATATGCTGATGCCATCTCACATCTTATTCCCCCAGTGCAATACCTTCAAAGCAAAAGCCCCACAGTGAAATTATAAATGTGTGTAAACCCACCATAGAACGATACTGCAGCAACAAATAAAAGAACAAGCTCTCGAAATGATGGCTTACATGAGAACATTCTTGTCTCTCAACTGCTCAGAATGATCATCGACCCATGAGGGAAGATCACTATACTGCCTGATTCTTGGATCCAGAGTTTCTACACCAGGAGTTTCAAACTTGCCAATTCTTGTCTCGTACAAATTCCTTGCATCTAGCAGAACAATGTCCTTACTACCATCGCACACATCATCTTTCCCTGGTATGCAATTTCCATCGGGGAAAATCAAAACTATATCGTACTATCCCATGTATGCAACACACCCGTCCATTCGGCAAACAAGAATAAAATGACTCAAAGTGAAGAACTCGAGAGGGTTAATACCAGAAGTGTGAAGAACTGAATGGAACTCAAGGGCAGAGAGATGCCTGCCAGCATTAGTAATATCCGGTGGCGTCAATAGCGGACAAGAACTAAATGTGACCAACTCCTAACAAGCAAAAACACAGTTCAATTCTACAATTCAAGTTACTAAACTTCTTCGTGGAGGCAAAAGAAAAAAGAGAGAGAAACTTAACTAACCTTAACTACGCGAATGGAGAGGGAAGTGAAGCCGCACTCCCGAGCAACGTCGTCGTTGAATGGGTAGTTGCAAGAAGCGAGCTTGAAGTCAGTTCCTTCAAAGCAAGTATCAAATGACTTGACTGCGTCTATGTGCTTCTCCAAACAAGACAACTTCCCACCAACCTGACAATCAAATTAACGGAGAAACCCAAACGAAATTTACAAATGGCGGGCGCGGGAATTGCAACAACAGCGACAAATTAACGAGTTGAAGGGTAACTAAGTTGAGGAGAAGACAGAGAGAGTTGCGAGGATTTACAGTAACGTTGACGCCGTTGGCGGAGAGGCGGACGCGGCCGAGGAGGGAGAGGGAGTCGCAATTTTGGCGGTAAAAAGATAGAAGGTGGTCGAGATCGGGAACTGAAGCGAATCGGTAGTAGAGAAGGACACCGTAAGGTTCTGCTGGCGGCGTCTCCACTGTCTTCTCTTCCATTACAGGGAGATGGGGAGTAGAAGTACGACGGCGAAGATTTTGAAAGTGGAAGCTCCGAGAGTGAGGTCGCCGGCTTGGGCGGCGGCGGGTAGGGAAATACGAAAGCAAACCACTTCTACCGTCTACAGCATTTGGGTCAGGTGTCATGATCCATCGATCCAGCCCACCGTGTAATTCTGGTGGGTAAAGTCAAGCCCACTGGGCCTAGCTGACGCTCTTTGGACTTCTTCAAAACATGTTCTAGATTTTTTTCGGAATAATTATTTTCAAAAGTAAACACATATGTTTTATACAAAAAAATTATTTTAATTTCTTTCGAGAATCAATTGAAAATAAGATATTATCGATCATTGTTTACCTCATTTTTTAATCAAAGAAATTCGATCCCCACCCATATAAACATAAAAAAATTCGGTCTCCACTCATAAAAAATGGAGTAGTGAGCAATTTTCATGTGGGAAGCGGATGAATTAAAAAAATCCAACCTTTTGAATTGAATTATTGCATGGTTTAAGGCAATTCGAAATATATGTCTGTAAAGGTGAGACCATTATGAAATTTTTTATGCCACCTTGCATACTTGAAAGTGTTCTGTGTTGTTTTATAAAAATATCACTTCTACTATTCTTTAACATACTGGTGTTTTACGATATAATAATAATAATAATAATAATAAATTATAGTATTATAAAATTAAAAGTACAAATTCAGATTTGTACGATAATAAAATTTGTACATTTATGTCATGATACAATTTCAAATTTGTATCAAAACATAAATGTACGAGATTAATTTGTATCATCAAGAATTTGTACAAAAAAGTATAGATACAATATAAAGATGTATCATATTATTAAATGAACGAAATTAATTTGTACCACAAAACTAAAAGCTAAAAAACCAATGCTTTAAATCATTGTAAAATCCGTCTCATAAAAAAGATTGTGCTTTATAAATACTGTACAACCTAAAGCGTTATGTTTATTAGGGGTGTTCAAACGGTGTGGTTACCATGGTAACCGTTTTAACCAGTCCTATTTGGATAATTTGTTTTGGTTAATTTGGATAATTGGTTTGGTTTGGTTAAAGTTTTGGATTTTGCTACGGTGACATGCATGTCACCGTGACATGGACTTTTCGGTCGACCTAATCCAACATGCGGTCGACCGAATGGACTAATTCATGTATGTGGAGTTCCAAGACGCGGTCGACCTCTTACATAATACGGTCGACCGCTTTGGTGGTCTAACAGAATGAAAGGTCGACCCAAATATCTCATAGGCCGACCCTTGTGCACCTAACAGGTCGACCGCATTATGAAGAGGTCGACCGCCTTCACACCGTATCCGTATTGGATATGGATTCCAACACCAGAAAGGTTCCACAATTGGACAAGGAAACGAATTGGGTCGACCCATTGACGTCCTAAATCTCTATAAATACGAATATTAGTCCCCTTCAACGCCTCGAAGTCTGAATTAGGTTTTTTTCTGATTAAGAGCATTTGTGAAGAAGATCGTTCGCGGTTGCTGTTGTACGCGTTGGAAGTGGTCGACCAGGTCTAAGGTGAGGTCGACCTAATGTACCATTCGTCGTCTTCTTTTCTAATGCGTGATTTCTACCGGCTAATTTGATATATTGTTGGGTGCAGAATTCCATTCGGCCGACCGTGACGTCAACCAGGTCGACCTGACAAGACAATTCTGCGTATTTGAATTTAGGCCACAACACTTGGATTTCTGTACTTGCGAGGTAACCCAATTGGTCGACCTAATGGGTTTCAAGGTCGACCGTTCCTGTTTTTTTGGTTATTCAACCTGAATGTCGACTTTGGATTTGATTGTATGACTATGTTGTGCTTGAAAAGGTCGACCGCGCCAGATATCTGGTCGACCTATCCTTTTTCGGTTTAATTTAGAACTTACTTTTTGTTGTTAATTGTTATTTTCCTGCTAGATAGGTCGACCTAGGAATAACAGAGGTCGACCTTAATGGTTGTGGTAGTCACTATTTGTCTTCCAGGTCGACCTAATACTATGTCAGGTCGACCACGTATTTGTTTTTTGGTCAATTGTAGAAATTTGAAGTTGAATTATGATTTAAATTTTTCTTGAAATTGTTTAGACAATGACGCATGATGATAAACTGCATCAAGATTTGGGTGAAATCATGAAATTGTTGAAAGCCACACAAGAGAAGCTGGTGGTGTGTCAAACACAAGTCAATGACTTTCAAAAGTCCATGTGTGATAGAGTGGAGCAATTGTCAGTTCGACTGACAGATATGACTGGGATGATGCATGACGGGTTTGAGAGGCTAGAAGGTGCTATCAAAGATATAAGTGCAGAACGAATGGAGAATGGCGGAAGAAATGGTAAAGGAAAGAAATTTGACTTTGGTAAAGAGGAAGAAGACCATGATGACTCTGAAAATTGCTACCATAGCATAGACGATTTATTGAAAGAGCACATTTTAAAGGTATCCAAGTATATTCATATGTGATTGAAGATATTAGTATTACTATCATTAGTGCTAATTTGTTTTGTTTATATGTTTAACAAAGTGAAACAACGAATGGCAGCAAGGGTTCCTCTCCTAAGTACAAGAGACCTCGATATGAAAGTGACTCCTACACCACTCCACAGAAGGATCAATTTGTAAGAAAAGGATTATTTAGTGATGATAGCGATGAAGAAGAATCTAAGAGTCCTTTCGAAAAGCACGGGGTAAGTTTACGTTACATATTCATCTATAATGTGTGTTTGTGTTCATATGTTACTTTAATTTTAACTATGATTTGTAGGTCATGAAAGTGGAGGGTCTAGAAGGATTCACCAAAAATCTTCAAAATCCAGTTGAAGACTTGTATTATGTTGTTACTAAAGAGAAGGCTGGGGACAAGAATTGGGACAAGTAAGACGTTTTTTAGTACGTGTGGTCGACCGGATCGGTTATGAGGTCGACCTCTTTTCCAATAAGGTCGACCATGACTGTGAACAGGTCGACCTGTACGTTGCAAATCACAATTGACATTTCTGTTATTTTGATTTTTGCAGTTTGACCGTTGTGAACTTTTTTTCTGAAAACGTGCAACGACATTATTTGAGTTCGGTCATTAGCGAGAATAGTTGGGTTTGCTCATCAGTAAGTACTATACTACTACGACTTTCGTATGAATTGTGCACTATTTATGTTACGATTTATGATGATTTTGTGTTTGATTGTTGGATGGTAGATAGTGGATTTGTGTGCAAGGGCACTAACAATGTCTGAAAAACATGATGTGAAAGAGCCAAATGTGTGGTATTTGCCAAATATGTTTTCGGTAAGAGCCGTAATGTCAAATTATTTGTCATAACCTAGTTATTTATATTGTACCATGTCAATTCATTTCAACTAAAACATGCTGCAGAAAATGGTACGCGCTAACATGAAGACCAGACAAATTCGTAACAAGTTGATGAATGATGGCGTGGTCTTTATGCCGAATGTCAGTGCATGCCAGAAGGTTAGTCTAGTCAATGTCCCTCTATCATTAAATTTCGAAAGTGCATTTGTTTGTATTCGCTGTTTATAACATATAGTGAGTGTTTCGTTGCTAGATATTTATGCTAGTTCTTGACGATGAAGCACGTCATTGGTTTCTGTATCTCGTCAATGTCCAGCAAAAAACTGCATTTTTGCTTGACAGTCTACCTTCAACTAGTGAGGCTAATCGTAGGCGTAAATCAGCACTATGCAAGAAATTGGTAAGTGTTTCCTATAATTTTCTGACTGTTAAGCGTCACGTATTATGCTAAAAACTTAAAATATTCATTATTTGTGTGTAGTTGTCCAATTTGGATGATATTTTCAAACCGGAACGCATGAGCAATGTAGGAGTACCAAATTTTGGAGATTTCAATTTTGATGAGCTACGAGTTCAACGGCAAAGGAATAGTACTGAGTGTGGTGTGCACGTCATGCAGTGGATGCGCTATGGATCCAAGGATCTTGATAGAGTGGTGAGTATATCGTCAAACAAATAACTTGTTTAATTTACACTTTTTTTAGTTGTAACGAAATCTTACATGGCATGATGCAGATAGGAGAAGAACACAAATTACCGGCGCGAAAGGAGATTCTATGGTATCTGGCTACACATTTTGAAAACCTTGCACGAGAAAATCTTTTCAAGCATGTAGTAGATGAATGCATGGAACGAGGCAAAGAGAGACAGAGTTCAAACAAAAAAGCAAAGAAATGAAGTCGTTAAGTTACAATGTTGCATTATTTGGACCATACATTGAATTTGTATTTGCGAGATCGTTTCATTTTGGATTTTGAATGTTTATCGTTTATTAGATTTGTTATACAATTATGGATGTGACTGAATTTACGATTTCAATCGTCTAGAACAAGTGGTCGACCACATACTCAAAGCGGGCATACCCAAAGGCAGAGCACAGGTCGACCTCGTGACACAAAAGGTCGACCTATGATACCGTAGCAAAGTCAAAAACCATGTAGAACATGGATGGAATCTCGTCAGTTTGGCCTTAATAAAATACGGTCGACCATTCTTGTCAAGAGGTCGACCTGTTTCACATTTATAAACAATGGTCGACCATTTCAGTAAAGAGGTCGACCTGTTTCACATTTACCCAAGACGGTCGACCATTTGTGCAAAGAGGTCGACCTTAATGAATCATGTCCTTGTACAATTAGGATTTTGTGTACTTGTCCTTGTCGAATTATGATTTTATATATCTTTCACCAATTGGATAAGGAATTCGTCTACATTATCTATAAATAGATGGGAGTCTGAAGACTTTAATCGTACTTCGATTTATGCAATTTGTTGGAGTGAAGTTGTAATATCATCGCTTTTATTGTGATCGGGTGTTGGTGGCGGTTTATTTTTATTCCGGTAGACCGTAACAATAAGTGGTCGACCTCTTTGCTAAGGTATGTCTCGTATGTGCTTGTTAATGCTTGTATGTGGTTAAATTTTTCCTACCATCTGGTCGACCACCTTCACCATCCGGTCGACCGTGCTTTTGTAATTATATGATTAGGTCGACCTTTCAGTAAATTCTGGTCGACCGCATGTTTGTTATTTAGTAATAAGGTCGACCGTACAGTTTATTCAGGTCGACCTGACGAGC